CGTAGCTCCTGCATGAGCCGTGGTGCCCCCGGGGGGGGGGAGGTTCTAGCAGGAGGGGGGTGGCGTAGTACTAGCAAGAGCCGTGGGGGGTGGCGTAGTACTAGCAGCAGCAGGAGCGGTTAGCGTAGTACTAGCAGCAGCAGGAGCGGTTAGCGTAGTACTAGTAGCAGCAGGAGCGGTTAGCGTAGTACTAGCAGCAGCAGGAGCGGTTAGCGTAGTACTAGTAGCAGCAGGAGCGGTTAGCGTAGTACTAGCAGCAGCAGGAGCGGTTAGCGTAGTACTAGCGGCAGGAGAAGGAGTTAGCGTAGTACTAGCAGCAGCAGGAGCTGTTAGCGTAGTACTAGCAGCAGCAGAAGGAGTTAACGTAGTACTACTAGCAGCAGCAGGAGAGTAGCTGGCGTAGTACTAGCAGCAGCACAGGGAGGGGGGGGGGGAGAGGAGGGAAGTTGCGTAGTACTAGCAGCAGCCGTAGGGTGGCGCTCGAGTGCCTCCTAGTTCTGCAACTGGTGTATCAACACGGTCTCAAGGTCACACTGAGGAAACTCCCCATCTTGATCTCGTTGGCTGCACACACACACACACACACCACTCTCATTCACCCCTCTCTCTCTCTCTCCCCGTCCCTCCCTCTCCCTAGCCACTCCCTGGTCACTAGCGGCGTTAATGGGGGGTAGGGAGGCTAGAGTTGCTAGCGTGGCCGTGCTTGCCTCTAGGGGCGTCACTAGTGCCGTTAAGGGGCGGCTAGTGCACTATAGAATGGTAAGCTTGCATAATGTCCTCTTTACAAGTGTCTTTATTTCACCCCAATAACCTTTTCTGCTGAAGACAATGACAGCGTTCAGGGGTTGGAAGTTGTGTCTTCAAGCTGGGGGCTTGAAGCTTCAAGCTGCCGCCAGCTTGATAAGAGAGCTTCGTCAGGTGTAACATGCAGGCATGCCAGTGAGGAGAGGAATGAGTGAGGTGAGGAGGCAGCGGTTATGAGGAAGCAGAAGCAGCAGCGGCAGCGGCAGCAGCAGCAGCAGCAGCAGCATGGCAGCGCCTCCGTTACTCACCTCATCCCATTTGACGAATTTGTCGCCATCCTGGAGTTGCTGGGGCACACTGATATGCTTGAGCTTCAAGACGTGCACGCCCGACTTGGCGCTAGCCATGGCTCACGTCATGGACTGGGCGCGGAGGCAGGTAGGTGGGCGCGAGGGCGGCGACCGAGCACCAGAGAGACTAACACAGCACCTGCTACCACGGCAGCACAGGGGACACTGCCTGAGCAGCCCGGGGCAGGGCGGGCGGCGGGGCGGCCTCCCGCCTCCCGACCCTCGCACGCCCACATCGGCTCCGGCCTCGGCACACTCCTTACCCCTCACCACATTCCCCCCAAAATATGAATTATTTAACTCCTTTTTTATTTACATTATAGGTTAGCCGGATATAAGTATATGGGCTTATTTTCTGTCGTTCTTAGGACTACTAGGAATACAAAATAAGAAGGGTGTAATCAGTGACTATCCAGCCCAAGGATATCATAATTGCGACTTAAGTGTGATAGCTGACAGCATCTATCATAATATTAGCAGTCTTACGCCCGAGTCCTCTCACCGTTAAGTTAGAAATATAGTTTTATAGAGGATTATGAATGCTAATTTTTGCTCAGGGTCCAATTTAATGTAGACAGATGCAGGGATCTGAGGCTTGGTAATGTGGGTACAATATATCAGCTGGACAATATTAAAATTGCGAAATCTGAATGCGATGAAGCTTTATGGGGGGTCATTAGTAGACACATCTTAAGTCAAAAGGTCAATATATAAATGTACGGAGTAAACCAAACTAGATACTGGTATATATTTGTCGAATCATTATTCCTCAGCTTTATCTTGTCCTTGTTAGGTTCAAATTTAGACTATGTAGTATTCAGAAATGTATCACAAAATTTATCTCAGAAATTAGAAGCCTCTGTTACACAGGTAAAAAAATAAATATACATTCTCTAGAAAGGTGTAGAGGGTGGATGGAGGTATTGCACTTTTCCATTCATCTCGTGGAATGAAAACATTTTTATACAAATGGAGGGCCACTGGATAGGGGGGGGGGGAGTCGGAGTGCAGGATAAACATATCAATTGTGACACTAACTCTCCACATATGTCAGTTGCTTAATTTAGAAACTGTACTTGTGGTCGATCTCGAAGCCATTGTTGATGTGACGATGTGCATTGAATTTTGTAACTAGCTCATCAAGACTGTAACTTGCTTAGCTAAATGAATTGTGGAGTTCAGTCCCTGAGCCCATTATGTGCCTCTGTAACCCTTTCCACTACCGCCACAGGATGGGTATGGGGTGCATAATAAATAAACAGTTTCCATTATATTCCAATAATTATAGTGATACTATTAATAATTTGTATTACCACCCAGAACCTTAATTTATATCTATCTTAACTATGACTGGAAATATTAAGAATTTTGGAAGCTACTGAACAGCAGAGTTAAATTATGAGTGCCTCATTACGCAATTTTGAAAGTCTTTAATTCCTTGCAGCACCCACAAGAGAGAATGTCTCTTTGTCCAAAGTTGGAGGTCAGACGTTAAGGGCTAGCCTCACCCAAATTTGGAGGGTGAATTGTCTGGGGTATGGGACGGACATAGGGTCGGTCGGGGTCGGTTCCAGTGCCACACTTTAAGAAATATAGGCCTTCAACCCACAACCCGTTCTCGCACTTTCTTATAGTCAATATTGACTTATTAAATACGTGCATATGTGACATACTAATTTATTGTGAATATTTTAGTTTACCTTGAAAAGCTTAATAGAAAACACCGACCTTACCTAACCTTCTTAGTATGTTAAGATAAGCATTTTATTGCTTCGTAATTACAATTATTACTTAACCAATACCTATAATTGGTTAAGTAATAATTGTAATTAACCTATACCTATAATTGGTTAAGTAATAATTATAATTACAAAACAATAAGATGCTTATCTTAACATACTAAGAAGGTTAGGTAAGGTCGGTGTTTTCTATGAAGCTTTTCAAGGTAAACTAAAATATTCACAATAAATTAGTATGTCACATATGCACTTATTTAATAAGTCCATATTGACTTAAAGTGCGAGAACGGGTTGCAGCCCAACCCCCCATGTGCGATTTCTGGGAATTCTCTAATTAAATCACGGATGTATTTTCTGTAACTCTCACCATATACAGGTTCATGATTTACTCGAAAACAATGAGATGATTTCATATTGGTGACAGTGATGAAGAGAGTGAGTAGAGAAGATGGTGACAGTGATGATCATAGTGAGTAATTGCACACTAGATAACTAAAAGTCTTAGCAAACACACTAAGTCTTAGTAATAGTCTTAGTAAAGCCAGCATAAATACAACAGGCTAAAGTTGTGTAAATATCTTGTAATGGAAACCGTCACGTCATTTCAGGTTATTGAATGACATCAAGTTAATAATTTGTTGCCGTTTTTATAGATGACAACAGAAGCAGTATGAAAAAAAAACAATAATACATTTCAATAACAATATAACTGCATCAGTAGTACTGGTAGACGTACTGGTAGACGTACTGGTAGACGTACTGGTAGAAGTACTGGTAGAAGATATCTCCAATCACAGAGACCCCCTACATAAGTCATGCAGAACATGTCAATTGGAAACTTTCCTTATTACGACTACTCATGGCCCAGTCGATACGAGCTTCGGCCTCACCCGCATGGAGTCCAGGGTTCGAGACCCATATATATACCGCCCAGGTGAATGGAATGTAGAACATGTATCTTCATCCCTATTCCGCTGTAAATCAGTATATATATATAATTTTTGTTTTCTAGTAAGGCTGGCAGATACCTTTTTTTTTTTTGAGGCTGACAATTAGAACGTCGTATCATTCAGGTTAAGGCCAGTAAGTGGGTCGGTGACTGTCATATAATTATGTAGTACTTGCAGCCCATTCTCTTAAAAATGACAGTACTTATAGTAACTATTTGCTGGAAAGTACCAATATGTAGTAATAGACCACCAGAAACTTAACTTTTGTGGTACTGATCAACTGATACCTGATCAACCAGGCTGTGACTCATACGTCAGGCTGCGAGCAGCCGCGTCTAACAGCCTGGTTGATCAGTCCAGCAACCAGGAGGCCTGGTCGACGACCGGGCCGCGGGGACACTAAGCCCCGGAAGCACCTCAAGGTAGGTACTGAATTTGGACAAACCAATTTTTTTTAACATAAAAATAAGACCTAATTTAACCTCAACTATTAATCTTAGGCCTAATACACGCTGTCTTAGGCCTAATATAGTGCATATATGCTATATTAGGCTTAGGAATATTTAAGTTAGCTGTATTTTATTTCCGGACTCCAGAAAATTTAGTACAAAAAAAGTGGTTTTCTGTCGCTCCATCACTACACGGTGACACTTTCCACCCCAGACTGTCACTACAAGAACTGTCATGTCAGGTGGATGGGCTGAGTACTTGGCACTCAGGAGGGTGGGCTGAGTACTTGGCACTCAGGAGGATGGGCTGAGTACTTGGCACTCAGGAGGGTGGGCTGAGTACTTGGCACACAGGGGGGTGGGCTGAGTACTTGGCACTCAGGAGGGTGGGCTGAGTACTTGGCACTCAGGAGGGTGGGCTGAGTACTTGGCACACAGGGGGGTGGGCTGAGTACTTGGCACACAGGGGGGTGGGCTGAGTACTTGGCACTCAGGAGGATGGGCTGAGTACTTGGCACTCAGGAGGATGGGCTGAGTACTTGGCACTCAGGAGGGTGGGCTGAGTACTTGGCACTCAGGAGGGTGGGCTGAGTACTTGGCACTCAGGAGGGTGGGCTGAGTACTTGGCACTCTTAGTTACACACGAGAAATATTGCGACTTGGAGAGTGCAAGTGTGGGGAGAGAGAGAGAGATATAGGGGCAGTGATCGATCTTGTACCCGACAGTGACCAGGCTACATACTTCTATACAGCCGGCAGTGACCATTCCCTTGCTACCGCCAGTGCCGTAGTGGTGAGGGCCCCTCACTGCCGCCAGTGCCGCCAGTGCCGTAGTGGTGAGGACCCCTCGCTGCCGCCAGTGCCGTAGAAGCGAGGGTCGACTAAGTGCCGCGACTCACTCCCGCCAGCAGCGCGCTGAGGAGCGGACGGCAGGAGCTGCAACTTCCACCTCAGCACATACCTGCTCCCGTAACGCGGGATCAGGTGTATAATCGACACACCAGCCTACATGTGTGCGACACAATAAGATCCAAATAACAAGGGAATATGAATTACCGGATTCAGTACTCCTCTTTTTCACGCTGGAAAGGGGGACTTGACGCTAAGGTCCGTGACAGTTTCATTCCAGTGTGTCGTGGTTTGCTCTCAGTATGAAAGGTAAGGTTATTAACGCATCTATTTTCTGGCGTATGTCTGTCATTGCGCAGTCTCCGTTCGAAATGGGTGAAGGAAAACGGTGGAAAATGTAATACGAAGAATGTTTCCTAGGACCAGAGGAAAGGCTGTGGTGGATGTCAATGACATTCTTACTGTGTGTGGTGACTTCACAGTGGTGGGGGGGGGGGGGATGAGTATAGTGTTTGGAGCAGTCTTTGTCCGTCGTTAGGTGTCTGCGTGCACACTCCACCACCAGTGAACACACACGCCACCACCAGTGTACATGAGAAACTGTGTCAGGGTCAGATGCTATGCACCTTTGGTGGTTCAACACGAGGGAACCAGCACCGCAGGTGATCGGCGACTTGATCAGACGACGGCGGTGGGACAGTATCACCTATGGAACTCTCGGTTATTACGAGCAGGTGGACAATACAACATTTCGAACACTGAGACGAGACGAGTGTGAAGCAATACAACATTTCGAACACATGGAGAGGAGGGAGGGATCGGACCTACCCAATATTTGGGCAGCGTACAAGTTGGATAAAGTTCTGCCAATTTAACATTGTCCTGTAAACACAATGATATTATATCTGATTGCTGATGTTCAAATAACTTTATTTTCGAAATTATTGGTCTATATATATGTGGTAGAAGGAATATTAATATTTTGTATATATATATGCCAGCAAGAATATTAGTGTTCTTGATATATGTTCTGGCTGGACCATTAATGTTCTTGATATATGTTCTAGCTGGACCATTAATGTTCTTGATATATGTTCTAGCTGGACCATTAATGTTCTTGATATATTTTCTGGCTGGACCATTAGTGTTTTTGATATGTGTTCTAACTGGACCATTAGTGTCCTTGATATATGTTCTAGCTGGACCATTAGTGTCCTTGATATATGTTCTAGCTGGACCATTAGTGTCCTTGATATATGTTCTAGCTGGACCATTAGTGTAATTGATACATGTACCAGCTGGACCATTAGTGTCCTTGATACATGTACCAGCTGGACCATTAGTGTCCTTGATACATGTACCAGCTGGACCATTAGTGTCCTTGATACATGTACCAGCTGGACCATTAGTGTCCTTGATACATGTACCAGCTGGACCATTAGTGTCCTTGATACATGTACCAGCTGGACCATTAGTGTCCTTGATACATGTACCAGCTGGACCATTAGTGTCCTTGATACATGTACCAGCTGGACCATTAATGTTCTTGATATATGTTCTAGCTGGACCATTAATGTTCTTGATACATGTTCTAGCAGGACCATTAGTGTTCTTGATATATGTTCTAGCTGGACCATTAATGTTCTTGATATATGTTCTAGCTGGACCATTAGTGTTCTTGATATATGTTCTAGCTGGACCATTAGTGTTCTTGATATATGTTCTAGCTGGACCATTAATGTTCTTGATATATGTTCTAGCTGGACCATTAGTGTTCTTGATACATGTACCAGCTGGACCATTAATGTCCTTGATACATGTACCAGCTGGACCATTAGTGTTCTTGATACATGTACCAGCTGGACCATTAATGTTCTTGATACATGTACCAGCAGGACCATTAATGTTCTTGATACATGTACCAGCAGGACCATTAATGTTCTTGATACATGTACCAGCAGGACCATTAATGTTCTTGATACATGTACCAGCAGGACCATTAATGTTCTTGATACATGTACCAGCAGGACCATTAGTGTTCTTGATACATGTACCAGCAGGACCATTAATGTTCTTGATACATGTACCAGCAGGACCATTAATGTTCTTGATACATGTACCAGCAGGACCATTAATGTTCTTGATACATGTACCAGCAGGACCATTAATGTTCTTGATACATGTACCAGCAGGACCATTAATGTTCTTGATACATGTACCAGCTGGACCATTAGTGTCCTTGATACATGTACCAGCTGGACCATTAGTGTCCTTGATACATGTACCAGCAAGAATAATACAGAAAGGGCGTCACATTAGTCAACTTCATCATAAAAAAATAAACTATTAATTTTCCACAAAGGGACAAGCAGGACAAACCATTAAACCAATTTGAATACAAGAATAAATACGAACATGGAATAACTACAATATGCATGAAAAAGAGAGACAATTTAGCTGTGACCGTAAGGAATGACAACAACAAGTCAATACTAGATAAAAACTAGACATGTAAGCCATCAAAAGAAAGATGCAGGTGTCAGATGACCCCCGGGGCAGAATCAGCACCTTAAACTGGGACAGCAGCACCAGAACCCCTGCTTGATGGGGTTCTGGGAGTTCTTCTACTCCCCAAGCTCGGCCTGAGGCCAGGCTTGACTTGTGAGAGCTTGGTCCATCCGGGCGAGAAACAGAAACAACGGTATCGCGAATACCTGTGTTGACGGAAGGGTCAACAACAGCAGCATCAGCCGTCCAAAGGTGGCCATCAACAGGCTCAAACAACGGCGGCCACATAGAGAGGCGCGAGGATGGGGTGCGGGGCGAGTCACTCCAACGCCTCCCTCAGCCATGACGAGGCTAGGACACCCGTTAATGACTCCGGCGCCGCACCTTTGGTGAGTACAGCAATGCAACTCCATATTCTCACTCGGTTTATTTTCCGGAAATCAGGTGAAATTTTCGTGGGTTCAATATCTTTGGTGGTTCAGTGAGGTTTTCATAATTGATTGTACGTTTCCTGTAAACTTGGCGGAAATATGTAGATTTGCCAAAGGTTTAAACACTCTCTTTCCTTTTGCACACGGGCGCAATAAAGCCTATTGCAAAGCCTATTGCTATAGGCTTTGTGTAACAGAAGAAATATTATTTTGAGTTCCTCCCGATATCAGTAATTGTCTCATGCTCGTTTCCTCTCCTCTAGACGTTAGCTAATAATAGTTTCTCTTCTCTAGACGTTATATGATTATTGCAGCTATTGCCCAATCGCTTCTACTTTTCTACTTGGCCTTCCTTGTCATTTACAGAACACAATAGGGCGCTTGAGTAGTTTTGTGGTTGGACACAAATAGGAGCTTCCTATTTATGTCCTAACTAACTTCATCTTATTGGCCTCACTCAAATTCTTTACTTCTTATGTTCGTATGTGTCGTCAGTCATTAAGGGCATGTTACTGTTGTAATGACAGCATATAATGTCGTAATGACAGCATATTATGTAATGACAGCATATTATGTAATGACAGCATATGATGTAATGACAGCATACGATGTTATAATGAACGCATATAATGTTGTGATGACCGCGTATATTAATCACCTGCCTAATTCTAAGAGCAGTTCCATAATTTGCAATGATCCGAGATATTAAATGTTGTGTTTGTGCAACAGTAGCTATATCGAGGTGTAAACAGGACCATGACAACAGCGGGTGTTATCATAGAGACCGTCTCCCCCAACACGGCGATCAATACTACACGACCTTAAACTCACAATACCTCCAACCCCACCCCACCCCCCTCTTCACTACACTTAGTTATAACCCTCGTTTCATCCTCAATATATCCACCCCATTTATTGCACTCACAGTTCCTCATAATTCTTGAGACACAATAGTGCCTACCCTCCATTACCACATTGTCAAACAGTACACCAAGTCTACCATAAGATGTGTAGTATCCTATACCCCCCTTACTAGATTTCATTTCCCCTCACTACACCCCATTTCCCCTCACTACACCCCATTCCCCCTCACTACACCCCATTCCCCTCACCACACCAAGCCTACCATAAGACTTGTAGAATCCTTTGATCACAAATGTCATATCATTAATGCAAACACTCAAACGTCAAGGCCGACGGGTACTTATCAACTGGGTGCCAAGTCATGTAGGAATAATAGGAAATGACGTTGCAGACGAAGCTGCAAAATTTGTAACTATGAGAAGAAATGTAGACATTTACATACCACAGAGTCTATCACAGATTAAGAAAGTAATTAGAAATAGAAATAGAACAATGCAGGTGATGTACAGTGACCACAACACAGCAGTTGCAACATCAGGATCTGCGGGCTGGTACAAGAATTCAACCAACTATGAACCACTTAGTTTGATGAAAGGGAGCAGTAGAACAACATAAGTACACTTACATCGCATCAGGCTTGGATACCCATGTGCATGGGAAGTAGGCTTACAGGTTCCGGCAGATGAGAGGAAATGTCAGCACTGTGGAGAAATGCCCCACAGACCACTGGAATATCACCTAACACAGTGTAGAGTTACAAACCCATTAAGATTTCAACTTAGATTCAACAGAGCAGAAGAAGTTGTTAAACACATGGGACAAAATCTTACTGAAGCGACCATACGAGTCATAAATGCTCATACTCCGCCCAAGTAAAACAGAAACAAGCAACACTTAGTGGGCCAGCCAGAGGCTTAGGGCCCGCGCAGGAATATCCCTGCAAACATAAAAAAAAAAAATTGTAGTATCCAATACCCCTCATTACACCCCATTCCCCTCACTACACCCCATTCCCTTCACTACACCCCATACCCCTCAAAAATACCCCATACCCCTCACTACACACTCCACACTCAATCCAAATTATATTCCATCAAGGCGGTTGAGCATGCACAAACAACAAGGCTCACGTCGTGTCCACACTTAACCAGACCATCACCAGAGATATCCGGACCAATAGGGCCGCGGCACTGTGCTACCTCGGCTCTGTATATCGATTATTTCGGCATTTGTCCGGATATCTCGGAGCCTGTTACGGTCGTGTGTCGAAACGACGTGACATATATATTATATACATATTATATATATATTATATATATTTATATATTATTTATATGCATATATATTCCTGTAAAGTTCGATGATTTAATGGCCTATTTAAATAACTTAACTGTTAGTCAGATGTTTCAGTACAGAGAAGCAGAATAACAAAATGAGAATACAATTAACTGGCGTTTCTTGGTGTCGGAGAAGACGGTGACGGAGGAGGCGATGGAGAAGCCCAAGACCGGGGAGGAAGGCGTCTTCGAGCTGCCGCAGTCCGACTTCGTCGACGGGCGTCTGGGCGTCACTGTGAGTAGTGCCCCCTGGAGCGGGACGACTGTGCTCTAGTTAATCCCCCGTGAAGGCAACACCTTACTCCCCGTTTTCTGAATCCGTATTGTGGATAGACAGGCAAGCCAACAGAGTCGCCAATAGACTATACATCACTTTCTATGCCATTTGTGCGTTGTATGAAGTAAAGACGTCGGTGGGGGGGTGTCGACATACATCTCTCCCTCCTCCTGCAGGAGGCGAAGGCCATAGAGGAGCTGAGGAGCAACCTGGCGGCGGACGAGCACTACTGCGACGAGGACTTCCCTGCAGATAACTCCTCGCTCTTCTTCTCCCATCGTGTCGACGGCGACATTGAGTGGAAGAGACCCTACGTGAGACAACCCAATCTCTCATTTATTACAATAATTAACAGTTATTATCCTGTCTCCACTTAGTTTCAAGCAAGAGATTCTGCAGATTTACTGAAGTAGATTCAAACCTGAGTATTTTTTTATTAAAAAAGAATTTCAGTATTCACGTGTAAACCTTTAAATGAATTCTCTGTATCAAACATCATTGAAGTAAAGATTAAAGCTAGTTTACCATAGTCTTTCAAAATGTATAATGATGTACCAAACTGTTGATAAAAATATAGCCTAACATCTTGTGAGTTATTTTGATGAATATAATGAATAATTTCTGCCAGAAAAAACTGCTCCCCAATTGCTGTGGGATAAATACCAGGGATTGATAAGGATATGAGAAATACAAATATGTGAATGCAAAATAAAAGGCATGCACTATTAACAAATTAAAACCTTGACCAATACAAATAGTCAAGCCAAACTTTCCTCTTGTCCTAGGAAGAATTATAGGCTGTAAAACTCAGATACGTTTCTTAAGGGTAAACAAGGTTATTGATTGAAGAAACACTATGTACCTGTTGGTATTAAGACACATTTAACATTGCATTTTATACAATGGATTAAATTGTAAAAAATACAGCACAACGACTGTCTGAATACCGTTTTACTCTAGCATCAAAAATATCTGAACACTGTACACAATCTAGCCTAGCTCTTAATAATATTACAGCCAATATCTGAAAGTTTATTTAGTAAATATAAATTAAGCTAGTTATATCATTCAAGCAAGATTTATATGCAAGCAAATATTATTACTTGATGATAACTATAATGATTGATAATTTATACCATTAGATTATTTATACATATATTCAGATTTGATTATAAAGATTATTTACTATTAATAACTAACTGATTATGTGAGATAAAAATTAAGATAAATGCTTACTTTATTTTGGGGGAGTTTCATCGCTTCTTAACGATTACCAATTTTTATATGGACATATTAACGTCATAAAAGCACGCAATTGGCCAATTTACACTCTACAAACACTTAATACTTATCCAAAATTGAGAATCGATGCCTATCTGACCATTGTCAGAGTTATGATCTCTCTTGAAGAGATAAGCACTGCATTTTCTGGTTATCTTGACAGCGTTGCTGCAAGATTTGATTTCACGATGTAGCGTTTGGTAGGCTTCTGTGGTGGAAAGGGGCCACACGTCCTGGGGTGGACCACTATATACACTCTTTTTAGACAGATGGATCAGTATTTTGTTCCGATTTATAGTTCAACACCTCCCTGAGTATCTTAGGGTGCTATTGTCGTGATTATTAGATTGTTTGTGGGGTGTTAGTGCGCTTAAAGTCTTGCTTAACGATTACCTGTCTCCACTTAGTTTCAAGCAAGAGATTCTGCAGATTTACTGAAGTAGATTCAAACCTGAGTATTTTTTTATTAAAAAAGAATTTCAGTATTCACGTGTAAACCTTTAAATGAATTCTCTGTATCAAACATCATTGAAGTAAAGATTAAAGCTAGTTTACCATAGTCTTTCAAAATGTATAATGATGTACCAAACTGTTGATAAAAATATAGCCTAACATCTTGTGAGTTATTTTGATGAATATAATGAATAATTTCTGTGCCTCACTAGTGCACTGCTTGGAATGTAAACATTGCGGCTCCCTCTCCGGGCGGTTGGTGTCCTATGTTCCTTTTGTCTCCCTCAGAGAGGGTGACCAACAATGAAAAATTATTTCTTGTCTAGAAGATTAATTTGAGATAAAGTATGATTGTAAGATCAAGATACATAGGATTTAACGATTTTTGGGAGTACTTATAGTACGGATTAATTCTTTATTACGGATTTGAAATTACGTCACCGGAAGTCTAATTAGGTTTCAATTCAGCCATCTCAATGTGAAAGATTCGAGACCCATGAACAAAGTCACTTAGTCCATCACTAGGCCTACTGACGGACGTGACCATTGTGGTGTCGTCATGGATGTATGGTATTGATATATGATTCAGGATGTATGATTCAGCATATATGATTCAGGATATGATTAGTTTATATGATTAGATGTATTGAGATGTAGGATTCAGATGTAATACATTCCCACCATATTGGTATGTTGGAATTTTCCACAATTGCCTTGTTACCACCACACAATCACCAACGTCTTAATTTACATTGTCTGTGATAACCGCATGGTATCAGTTAATAGACATACCACTTAACACATGAGATTATTCGCAGATTATCTCATATCAGAACATTGGAAAGCATTTTAATTTCGAACACTGGTTGACATGACTGAGCTATGTACATATCTATACAAGAGAGAATGTCTGTCAGTCTGTCGGTTCGAGGACGGGGGCCAGATGGTTTCGGTTGGCCTCATGCAACTGTCTACGGTGACTTGTGACGGTATGATGAGTGCCGTAGGATGGTAGCATCATCCCCACAGGCGTCTCTTTAAGAAGGATTTGTTCCTATTGCGACAATGAGACACTCCAGTGAAGCCTGGAATGTGGGGTTCCATTTGCCATAGAGTGTTTCCAATAGATATTCCAGCTGTTATCGACGTTGAATCGAGGGTTATTCAACGACGGTAACGTTAATTCTTCGTTGATAATGTTGAATCAACCGTACGAGGACATGTTTTGCCTCCTGGGGGAGAGAGGGAGAATTGACAGGAAAAATAATGGGAAGTAGGGAGAATAGAGAAAGAATATGTGGGGAGAGAAGAATGGGAAGAAGGGATTGAGAATGGAATGGAGAATAGGGAAGAGATGGAGACCCCGACACTGTTGGGCACCACATCTATACAAAGTTGGAGGTCAGAGGCATAGAGTTAGCCTCACCGAAACTTGCAGGGGGCATGGTCTGAGGCACTCGACGGACATAGGCTGGTCGGAGTAGGCCAACCTAACCTTTCTAATAGTAGAACTATTAGAAAACGTATTAGTGTTCTTAAAATATAATGGCGGTTGGGTAGAGGGGAAGTGTTGATGCAAGATTTCCAATGGTTGGTGTGTTGCACCTCCAGGAGCTGCACGACGACCCTCAGGTGTTCGTTGACGGCGTCGGCAGGAAGGACGTGGTGCAGGGCGCCCTCGGGGACTGCTGGTTCCTCTCTGCGTGTGCCGCCGTCGCCAGGACGCCCAAGCTTATACAGAGGGTTAGGTGTGTGTGTGTGTGTGTGTGTGTGTGTGTGTGTGTGTGTGTGTGTGTGTGTGTGTGTGTGTGTGGTCACCTTGTACTAACAAGGGATGAGGTCCTGCTCTCAAGTCCGACTTCTTTACCCATTTCTAAACGGTTGTGCACATTCGTGAGTGTTCTGTGTTCACGCGTCTTTATTTCATGGTGTAAACGGAGCTTTTGCGTCCACCACTTCACATTTCGACGCAATTTTTAATCCTGAAAACAACGCTAACTTCTAGGTCTGGTCTGGGCGCGTCAGAGAAGCTTTTATTGTAATTTCTTCGCAAGATTTTGTATGGGGTGAGCAGGTCACCCCCATTTCTGTCTTTCAGCTTCATTCCCTTTAGTATTTTCAAATATCTCTTACTTCTTCACATGTTTAGAAACGTTTCTTGGCATATTATAAACTTTATCCAGCGTCGTTTTGTGTTTAACGAGATAAGGACTCCAGGCTGGTGCCGCATACTGCAGAAATGTGGATAAAAATATATACTCGCAAGTTTGTTGGCGTACATAAGTGGTACTACACATGTGGGTGTACATATGTGGTAGCACGCATATGGGTGTACATAAGTGGTAGTATATATGTGGGTGTACACATGTGCGTGTACACAAGTAGTAGTACACACATGGGTGTAGAGATGTGGTAGTAACAGAACTCTCCCCTGTGGCAGGTGGTGCCCCCAGACCAGGTTCTGGTCGGGGAGGGGTACACAGGGCTGGTCGTGTGCCGGTTCTGGAGGTTCGGGGAGTGGGTGCTGGTGTGCGTCGACGACAGACTCCCCACCAAAGAAGGCCATCTCATCTTCGCCAGCAGTTCCAGTCCCCAAGAGTTCTGGGTCGCCCTCGTAGAGAAGGCCTACGCCAAGTGAGTCTTGCGGACGCCTAAACAAAGAAATTATATATTTCTGCCTTGAGGCTTGGCAAGCTTTGCCTTAGTCATAGTAACAAAAAAATTCGGGGCTGCTATTGCCCGCTTCTTCTCGTGTCTCTCTATCTTCCTCCCCCTCTTCTCTTTGGCTCTCCTCACCTCGCTCTCTCTCTCTCTCTCTCTGCCTCTCCCTAGGCTCCACGGGTCGTACGAGGCGCTGGAAGGGGGTCAGAGTATGGACGCTCTAGTCGACCTGACTGGCGGCCTGGCTGAGAGGTACGACATGGAAGACACCCCCGACAAGGACAAACTCTACAAGCTCCTGCTCAAATCTTCCAAAAATGGAGCGTTTATCACTGCTTCCATGAAGGTACTCGTTGGTACTCTCTTGTCTGTGTGTGTGTGTGGTACTTGCAGGTGCTTGTGTGTGTGGTGTCTGGTACTCGCAGGCGTCGGGAACGTTCATGTGATGGGAATAACTACCATTGAACAAGCAATCTCCTAAATAGGAAACTCTGTCATACATTGGATCAAGATGCCATCACCTGTGAATGCGACATATATGATAATTATGTTAGATTTAATATTTATGCTCTCTCTCTCTGTCTGTGAGTCTGAAACACACTCTCCCACAACAGAAGAACGACCCCAGGCAGTTTGTCATGCTTCACGACGTAAGCTCTATTGGTTTTTATCTCCACCACTTTCCCCTTTCCCTCCTTAGAGGCTGCTAATGGCTTCTCTCCTCTAGTGTATATATATTTTGGTTGCTTCCTGTAGCGAACCCTTTTAGTTCCTATCCCATATGATTGTTATATGCTATCCTATCCCGTCGTAGCCAATAGTGGTTGTCCATCTAGCCCGTACTAGCCTTACTCTGTCCGCGTCTCTTTGTGGTCGTCATCTCTTGTGATCTCCTCTTTCCTGCCTTCTTTTCCTGCCTTCCTTCACTGCATTTATATTTTCCCTTTCGTAAATATTATAGGTTTGCTTCCTTGCCTCTTTCTTTCTTTCTTTTGTTGCCCCAGTATCTGCCTCCTCACTTTTAGTTACTGTGTTTTCCAAGGAGCGGTAAGTGGTAGCGTAGATCAATGTTCCTGCTGTCTGCTCTCTAACGAGGCTTGCTGCTTGACGGTCTGGTCAATCAGGCTGTGTTGACGCCTCTGCATGTCCTCCGGCTTGAGTCGCAGCCTGATTGGTTAGTTATATATATATTGAGGTGTTCATCAAGTTTCCTCTCACAACCCCGAGGACAGTTGAGTAGTTGCATGTTCCCACTTTAAATAAACATTCCTGTTCAGTTATCCTTCTCTCGTCTCTGTCTATGAACCGCTATCTTCCTTTTTTTTCCCCTGCCAGTTATCTCTCTTCATCCCTGTCCAGGATTTTTGTTTTCCTGTCTATTATATTTCCTCTGTGCTCCTGTCTATTATATTTCCTCTGTGCTCCTGTCTATTATATTTCCTCTGTGCTCCTGTCTATTATATTTCCTCTGTGCTCCTGTCTATTATATTTCCTCTGTGCTCCTGTCTATTATATTTCCTCTGTTCCTGTCTATTATATTTCCTCTGTGCTCCTGTCTATTATATTTCCTCTGTGCTCCTGTCTATTATATATTTCCTCTGCTCCTGTCTATTATATTTCCTCTGTCCTGTCTATTATATTTCCTCTGTGCTCCTGTCTATTATATTTCCTGTGTCTATTATATTTCCTCTGTGCTCCTGTCTATTATATTTCCTCTGTTCCTTTTATACTTGACCCATCACATTCCTTGTAGGTTAAGACTCTCCTTCAGTGATCACTGTTGCCTGTTGCTGTTGCTTCTATGTGCAATGACTCCTCTTCCAGCCCTTTCTCCTGTTTTGGTGGTACTTGTAGTAACACTGAGGACCATAGTACATATACCGACGTACAACGCAATTAGAAAGTACAAATCGGTACTATTGACAAACCGGAAAAGGATTTTACATTTATATTGCAAAGATAAACTAAACTAAATTACCCTAACCTTACCTTGCTAGGCCTAAAACACATATCTGAGGCCTAATATGATACATATTCCTAGGCCTAGCACACATATTTAAATTTGTTTTTATAGGCTAATTTTTCCCGACTGTGTAAGTGAATAGTACCAAATTCTACTATGTAATTGCCTAGTACGTCAATCTTTGTACTATGGTGCATATAGTTACACAAACTACTATATAAAGAGGAGGATGGGTCGGATATCTCACGGCTGATTATTGCAATCACGACTCAAACCCCTCGTTTGGTACCAAACATGTCTTATACTTGTTCATTATTTTCCCCTTTTTCTTCCTTAGGCCTCGTTATCTCTTCCCTGACAGTGCCTGACACTCTCTCTCTCACTCTCTCTCTCTTCCTCCCCTCGTCTCTTTGGCTCTCCTCACCTCTCTCTCTCTCTCTCTCTCTCTGCCTCTCCCTTGGCAGAGAGAGAGAGAGAGAGAAACTTCTCTCACTTCTCCTTTCTCCCTGACCAATATTTTCCTTCTCGCTAGGTCATGTTGTCCCTCAGTCCTCGTTAACCTGGACCGAGTCGGCACTCGTTCAGCACCTGTTCTCGTTCGTCCATTTCGTGCTTGTTAGACCCAAGATGTCGTGACGTTGTTAGTTTACTAGTTAGACGCTGTGTTAAACTGCTCGCTGTTGTCCTAAACTCAATAGTCTTGGATGGGAATATTTCCTCTCTGAGTCCTATCCCCCTTCCCCCCCCCCTTGATGTTTATTTGTTCTGCTTCTTGCTTTACCTGTGTCGCAGCTCGCGAGTAATTCACATTTATATAGGTAGATCTCTTGGTTTGAATTAATTATTTAAGCCAATGAACACTGGCTTGATTACTGTCAGCATTAGATCAGTTAGTTGTATAGTCCCGCCCCATAACACCGTAGCCCGGCTCCACAACACCGTAGCCCCGCCCCCACAACACCGTAGCCCCGCCCCCACAACACCGTAGCCCGGCTCCACAACACCGTAGCCCCACCCCACAACACCGTAGCCCCGCCCCCACACACCGTAGCCCCGCCCCCACAACACAATAGCCCCCCCCCCACAACACTGTAGCCCCACAACACCGTAGCCCCGCCCACAACACCGTAGCCCCGCCCCACAACACCATAGCCCCGCCCCATAACACCATAGCCCCGTCCCACAACACCATAGCCCCGCCCCATAACACCATAGCCCCGTCCCACAACACCATAGCCCCGCCCCATAACACCATAGCCCCGCCCCATAACACCGTAGCCCGGCTCCACAACACCGTAGCCCCGCCCCACAACACCGTAGCCCCGCCCCCACAACACCATAACCCCGCTCCACAACACCGTAGCCCAGCCCCCACAACACCGTAGCCCCGCCCCACAACACCGTAGCCCCGCCCCCACAACACCGTAGCCCCGCCCCCACAACACCGTAGCCCCGCCCTCAACACCGTAGCCCCGCCCCACAACACTGTAGCCCCGCCCTCACAACACCGTAGCCCCGCCCTCACAACACCGTAGCCCCGCCCCACAACACCGTAGCCCCGCCCCACAACACCGTAGCCCCGCCCCACAACACCGTAGCCCCACCCCATAACACCGTAGCCCCGCCCCCACAACACCGTAGCCCCGCCCCCACAACACCGTAGCCCCGCCCCCACAACACCGTAGCCCCCCCACAACACCGTAGCCCCGCCCCACAACACCGTAGCCCCGCCCCACAACACCGTAGCCCCACCCCACAACACCATAGCCCCGCCCCCACAACACCGTAGCCCCGCCCCACAACACCGTAGCCCCGCCCCACAACACCGTAGCCCCGCCCCCACAACACCGTAGCCCCGCCCCCACAACACCGTAGCCCCCCCACAACACCGTAGCCCCGCCCCCACAACACCGTAGCCCCGCCCCACAACACCGTAGCCCCACCCCACAACACCGTAGCCCCCCCCACAACACCGTAGCCCCCCACAACACCGTAGCCCCGCCCCCACAACACCGTAGCCCCGCCCCACAACACCGTAGCCCCACCCCACAACACCATAGCCCCGCCCCCACAACACCATAGCCCCCCCACAACACCGTACCCCGCCCCACAACACCATAGCCCCGCCCCATAACACCATAGCCCCGACCCACAACACCGTAGCCCCGCCCCACAACACCGTAGCCCCACAACACCGTAGCCCCACAATACCGTAGCCCCGCCCCACAACACCGTAGCCCCTCCCCACAACACCGTAGCCCCGCCCCCACAACACCATAGCCCCCCCACAACACCGTAGCCCCGCCCCACAACACCGTAGCCCCGCCCCACAACACCGTAGCCCCGCCCCCACAACACCATAGCCCCCCCCACAACACCGTAGCCCCGCCCTCACAACACCGTAGCCCCGCCCCACAACACAGTACCGGGATAACAGCACGGTGCCGCCACAGGGTGACTGGCGACTGGCCTACAAGACCAACGACCACGGCCTGGTGGAGGGCCACGCCTACACCGTGTCCGGCGTGGCTACCATCAGCCACGAACACCTGGGACTGGTGCGCCTCGTCCGTGTCAGAAACCCCTGGGCCAGCGGCGCCGAGTGGAATGGTGACTGGTCTGACAGGTGAGTCTTGGCGGGGGCTGACAGGTGAGTCTTGGCGGGGGCTGAGAGGTGAGTCCTGGCGGGGGCTGACAGGCGAGTCTTGGCGGGGGCTGGCAGGTGAGTCTTGGCGGGGGCTGAGAGGTGAGTCTTGGCGGGGGCTGACAGGTGAGTCCTGGCGGGGCTGACAGGTTAGTCTTGGCGGGGGCTGGCAGGTGAGTCTTGGCGGGGCTGACAGGTAAGTCCTGGCGGGGGCTGGCAGGCGAGTCTTGGCAGGGGCTGACAGGTGAGTCTTGACAGGAGCTGACAGGTGAGTCTTGACAGGAGCTGACAGGTGGGTTTCACTAGGTTGACATCTAACCGGTTCTGACCCCTCCCTACATCTACCTAACAACTCCTCCCTCCCCTCCCCCCACCCCTTTACTCTTCCTCTCCCTATACTGCACTAACCCCTCTCTGCACCCCATAACCCCTCCCCCTACCAACCCCTTCCCTCACCCCCCCCCCCACTAACCCCTCCCCTCACCCCTACTAACATTTCCCCTCTGTCTCCAGCGACGAGAACTGGGATGGGGTGCCCGTGTCCCAGCTTAACAAGCTGGGTCGGGCCCAGCTTGAAGACGGGGAGTTCTGGATGAGCTTCAAGGACTTTTGCGGCCACTTCGAAGAGGTGTCGATCTGCACCATCGGCCCGGACTTCGATAACGATGGAACCATTGACCACGTTGGTCAGGTGAGCTGGGGGGTGATTGTGGGGGGTGGCAAATCTTCCGCTAAATGTTGCCTGAAGCAGTTACTACGTCACTAACTACCCAACAGGTTCAGGCCATTAAGGGAGAGTGGGCGGAGGGGTCGAGCGCTGGCGGCAGCCGGAACGACTTCGACAAGTTCGCCACCAACCCGCAGTACCTGCTGACTCTTACTGACCCTGGTGAGTCACCAGCCTTATTAATCCCAGGTGAGTCACCACCCTTACTGTCCCCTGGTGAGTCACCATTCCTCATATACACAATCAAGGGATCCGGGAATCGAACCTCACGAGCGGATAACCACGGGTGTCGAGGGAGTTGCCTGAGCACAGGCGCAAGCGTCTGGCGTTTATACGCGCGCGCGCGGGAGTTGGCGGTCGAGCAAGAGCACCGTCGTACACTGTCAGATAATAACGTACCTGGTAACACGTGACCGTCTCTCTCTCTCTCTGTCAGATATGGAGGAAGACGGAGAGAGTAAGTGCAGCGTGCTGGTGGCTATGATGCAGGAACACCGCCGCTCAAACAAGCAACAGGCCGTCAAGGAGCTCCAGATTGGTTTTGTAGTCTACAAGGTGAGTCTGTGGATAGGTTGGTAAGATATTCGAGGACTGTGATGGGCGTAGTAACAGCAGGTTCATAGGGTATTCGTACGTTGTGTAGAGGAGGTGGGGAAGGCAGGGGGGCCCCTGATTGAGGAATGTATGGGGTCCTTTTAGAACGTGTTGACTACCGGTTGACTGAGTATACATGATGGGTATACGCTGGATGACGTATATCCATAACGCTGGATATGGTGAACCTATCCATAACGCTGGATATAGTGAACCTATCCATAACGCTGGATATGGTGAACCTATCCATAACGCTGGATATAGTGAACCTATCCATAACGCTGGATATGGTGAACCTATCCATAACGCTGGATATGGTGAACCTATCCATAACGCTGGATATGGTGAACCTACCCATAACGCTGGATATGGTGAACCTATCCAGCATTCTGGATCGTCCAAGGACGTTGGCTTTGATCTAACTGTAAAGTTTTTTTCCACTCTTGTCGACAGACGAGTCATCCGGAGCGGCGCCTGTCGTCAGATTACTTCCAGCACAACTATGAGGAAGGCAACTCCGGCGTCTACATCAATTTCCGCGAGGTGTTGTGCCGCATGGAGCTCGAACCCGGCGAGTACGTCATCATCCCCGCCACCTTCCTGCCCGACTGCCCAGGATACTTCATGGTCAGGGTGTACTCGCCCAACAGCTTCCAGCTCAAGAAGATACCATGAAGGCTCTTCCCACCTGACCCTCTACACCCCCTAACACCTCCCGGCTCAACGAGACACCTGTCTTTCGGGTGGCTTTCATGCCATTTCTTTGACAATTATTTATAAGAAAGTTGTCTTAAACTTGACAGAAAGTGCCTTAAACTTGAATTGATCTTACAATTAAGCTGAGATGGCTTTATACGTCTGTAATGCTTACAATAAAGATGTTGGGGGTTTTTCTTTCAACACTACCGAAACCAAACTTGTGCTAGTCTTGTGAATGGAAATAAAGCTTCGAACAATATTGGCTCAGTGTCACAGAGGTTGAGCTTGAAAAGGTGTTGCGTGATTTTGTTATGGAGTAGGTCCCCACGCGGGCAAGTCGACCACAGGGCTGGCAAGTCGTCCACAGGGCTGGCAAGTCGTCCACAGGGCTGGCAAGTCGACCACAGGGCTGGCAAGTCGACCACAGGGCTGGCAAGTCGTCCACAGGGCTGGCAAGTCGTCCACAGGGCTGGCGAGTCGTCCACAGGGCTGGCAAGTCGACCACAGGGCTGGCAAGTCGACCACAGGGCTGGCAAGTCGACCACAGGGCTGGCAAGTCGTCCACAGGGCTGGCAAGTCGACCACAGTGCAAGGACTTGACATACATACGAGTCTGCCCACTCACATATCAACACTGAACACCGGAGAGTGATGCAGGGAAGGAATATCTCACTGCTGTGGCCCATGGAGCAAGCCGGTGAAAACACGGCCATGCTTCGGAAACAAATTTAAACCTAAGTTTAAACATCATTGCTTCCTCAGCGTAGCTCTCCTCACTGGATTACTTGACCGTTACACTAACAATTCCGGAAGCCAGAATAACGCTGCAGAGGCCTTTTACTTATTACTTTACATTTGATATAAATAGCATGGATGTTTGTGGCCAGCCGCTTGCGGCCAGCCTCTCCCAACTTTGCAGGATGAATGATCTGGGTGACGGGACGGAAATAGGCTGGTTGGGGTCGGTCCTATTAGGCTCAGGCCTAATAGTGACCCGACACCTAATCAATGATAGGTGGCTGGCCGAGACAGTAGATTTGTTCACATTAATGGCATGGCTAGAGGGTAGAGAAGAGAGCTAGGGGATGTCTGAAGATAGGAGGAAAACAGATGGGCGAGAGGGAGGGGGGGACTGGGATAGAGGGATAGAGAAGAGTATCTTGGGGGAGAAACTTGGAGAGGGAGGGATAGGGTAAGAGATGAGAGAAGGGCGAGATTAGGAGAGGGGAGAGAGACCCCCCCCCCCCTGGCACAGCTGTCCCAGTCTGTCTATAAAAGAGGATATCTATCTGTCCGAGGTTGCCAGCCAGATGCTTGCAGCTAGCCTCACGAAAATTTGCAGGATAACCGGTAGGGAGAGTGTAACGGTCATAGGGTGTCTGGAGACGGCCACCATCAAGTCGGCCGAGATGAAATGTTCGGAGCCAGCGGCATAGAGTTTTATCCTTCGCTCAACGAAAGTATTTGGGAAAGTCTCACCCACACACACCCTCTCTACACAGTGCTCACGGGACGATATATTGAACCACAGAACGTTCTGGTGACAGATCTGCATTCTGGAGGCTCCCGGGGCGACCCGGGCAGCGCCGGGAACACTATTATAATAAAATAAACTGAGACACAAGACTTACACAATATTTAGATTAAATTTCTGGAAACTGCATTTCAGTTCTATAATAAAATTTGAGGGCTGAAGCTTCAATATCAAAGTGAATAAACTCACACCCCAGAATATATAATATATATATATAATATATGTACAATAAACTTGTTGATTACACTTTAATTTGACGTAATATATGGATGCAATTTAATGAATATTTGAAATAAATTTGTATATGTTTTTGGTTTATTAATTCACCATCTTTAACTCTTTATCCCTATTTTCATGGAGACCGTGACCAGTAGACCAGAGGACCGTGACCAGTAGACCAGAGGACCGTGACCAGTAGACCAGAGGACCGTGACCAGTAGACCAGAGGACCGTGACCAGTAGACCAGAGGACCGTGACCAGTAGACCAGAGGACCGTGACCAGTAGACCAGAGGACCGTGACCAGTAGACCAGAGGACCGTGACCAGTAGACCAGAGGACCGTGACCAGTAGACCAGAGGACCGTGACCAGTAGACCAGAGGACCGTGACCAGTAGACCAGAGGACCGTGACCAGTAGACCAGAGGACCGTGACCAGTAGACCAGAGGACCGTGACCAGTAGACCAGAGGACCGTGACCAGTAGACCAGAGGACCGTGACCAGTAGACCAGAGGACCGTGACCAGTAGACCAGAGGACCGTGACCAGTAGACCAGAGGACCGTGACCAGTAGACCAGAGGACCGTGACCAGTAGACCAGAGGACCGTGACCAGTAGACCAGAGGACCGTGACCAGTAGACCAGAGGACCGTGACCAGTAGACCAGAGGACCGTGACCAGTAGACCAGAGGACCGTGACCACTACCCGGTTGATGGGGTTCTGGGAGTTCTTCTACTCCCCAAGCCCGGCCCGAGGCCAGGCTTGACTAAACTAGACCAGTGGACCGTGACCACTAGACCAGAGCCAGCACAGGCACACCGTGCTTGTTACACCAACAAGTGGCCACATTGCAATAATTTGCAATCACCACAATGGCGACGTCCTCAAAATCTGGCACACACATACGTTTGTGTGTGTATATACGATCATGTATATTATATATATATATATATATATATATATATATTGTGTGTGTATATATCATGTATGATCATATATATATATATATATATATATATATATATATATATATATATATATATATGCATATGCCATTTACGAAGAAAAACAAAAAGACTTTCATTATCCTCACTATAACACCATCATATCCAAGAGGATCATTGTGAGCAATATAAATTTCACTATATATGATGAGATATATATATTTTGCCCGACTTTCTCAGTCATCTCTCACGCAGATTTTTCACTTCAAACTTGCGACGTTTCGAAGGACTGCTTCAATAAATGTATTCAAATCATGGAATGTATTCAAAATGTAATCAAATGAATACAAAATCCCTTTGTATTCTACCAGGGATTTAGCAATAACATTCTGAAAAGGGTTGAATGCTGCAGAAAGCTTATGGGTTGAATGATACGTTGAAGTGTACTCATGCCTAATTTTCCACACACACACACACACATACACATACTGGGGCCGGCGGCTGAGCGGATAGCACGCTGGACTCGTGATCCTGTGGCCCCGGGTTCGATCCTGGGCGCCGGCGAGAAACAATGGGCAGACTTTATTTCACCCTGATGCTCCTGTTACCTAGCAATAAATAGGTACCTGGGAGTTAGTCAGCTGTCACGGGCTGCTTCCTGATGGTAGAGGCCTGGTCGAGGACCGGGCCGCGGGGACACTAAAGCCCCGAAATCATCTCAAGATAACCATTTCAAGATAACCATCTCAAGATAACCATCTCAAGATAACCATCTCAAGATAACCGTCTATGGTGTTCTCTGGGTGAGGAGGCGCGGCCCTCAGCTCCTCGCAATTCCTGTCAACAATTTCATCCACACCTTCGCCCTTATGTATTCATCTGTTACGTTCATATCGTCGTCTCTTCCTTGTTGCCAAGATGGCGTGACATCATCTTGGTAGCTACTGCTGCTGTATTTATGACGATTTAAATTAGTCTGCATGGGCCTGGTCAAACCGGGCCGCGGGAACATTGATCCTTGGAACCACCTCAAGGTACATTTGACACATGATAATGGTTCAAATGATGAGTGCTTAGACTCCATTACATCCACACACAGAGCTGAAGAAATCATTACGATATCGTTGGTATACAAACCAAGCAATATTAGCGATGATAACCGCCGCAGCCCAAGTGATCAAGAAAAGATAACCAAATTATTTAAGAGAATTATTTTTAGAGCAGTCATCTCAGCGAAACACGAGCTGGAGTTGGAGGAGACAGAGCAAGAAGGAGAGTAAGAGGGAGAGAGTGTGGGAGGAGACACAGAGCAATAAGGAGGAGGCGAGGAGAGAGAAGGGTGAGTGAAAAGAGAGAGGACGCGGGGGGAAGAGGGGGGGGGGGGTGAGGGGGAGCTTGTATCACCGTCCTCTCAGGGGGAGGAATTGACAGGGTACATAAGAAATTGAAATAAGTTTATCGAGTTATAAATACACACAAAGGGATGAGGTAACTCAAGCTATTCTCACCCCGTTCAGTACATCGTGTTCATATATATATACACACATCACAAACAACATATTACCGAACATTCTGAGTGATAAACATATACATTTCTTCCTTTACACATACAGTATGTTACCAGACGTATACACAAATACTTGTATGAGCTGGGACACAGACCATTTGCAATCGACATTCAAAGTTACAATGTTGGTACGAAATTCTTATATATCTCTCCAGAATATCATCAACCTTTCCGTTGTGACACATCCAGGCTATTTGTTCAGGAACAGTCCTTATCTCAGTGTTTCTATATACATTAATCAACGGACAATCAAGAACATAATGGGTGAGGGTGTGAGACCTTAACATACCTCGTAATTTACACTTCATTTCATTCTCATTAACACCTATTCTAGTGGCTAGAGGCTTTACAAGAATGTAAAATCAACTTAATTTCTAAGTTCTCTGTTAACCTTTAATGTACTTTCTTGTATATAAATAAATAAATAAATATTCGATATTCCCAGTAATATTTGTACCCAAGCCTGAGCCGCATGTTTACAGAATATATATAAGAACAAACTATTAAGCACGGGTGGAACACGAACAAGGGGACACAGGTGGAAACTGAGTCTTCAACTGAACCAGAGACAGTAGAAAGAATTTTGTCAGTGTCAGAGTAGTGAACACACTGAATGTTGAATTTGACGTGGTAATGAGGTAGAGGCAGACTCCACACACAGTGTCAAATGTAGATATGATAAGAGCCTAATAGGTCCAGGAACCTGTACACCAATTGATACAGTGAAGAGGCGGGACCAGCTCAATCCTGCAAGCACATGTAGATGAGAACGATTCGGTGAATATCCGCCCACCTGTCTCACGCACACACCCACTACTCTCTCCTACGTCCTCCTTGAACCCTGGTCTCTTCTCTCCCTCATCATCATCCTTCTCCTTCTACTCCTCATCCATCTCCTCCTAACTCCATCTCCTCCCTCATTCCATATTCCACTCACAATCAACATAATTCTCTCCACACGAAATAACATTGTAAAGAGCTTACGGCCAGCCTAGCCTCGTGTGCCGCGGCGTACAGAACCAGCCGTCATTACTATCGTGTGTCTTGCTTCAATTTCACCTCTAATTTAGCGCACCACCAGCCTCTTGCTTCCCAGACGAATGACGTCACTAGTGTAGTAGGCGTTGGGGGAGGGAGGGAGAGAGAGTCAATGTTGTGAGAGAAGTGGGCGTGGCCAGGAGCAGTGACGTAGGGAGCAGTGGGCGTGGCCAGGAGCAGTGACGTAGGGAGCAGTGGGAGGAGACGAGGTAACACACACACGGAGCAGAGGTGCAGGCGGCCCCATACTTGTTGGGTCGCTTGACACGAACGGATCAACCACGTTCCTGCTCGTCGTTCTCTCACAGGCTCCTGATTCCCCTTAACACGGTGAGTAAAACCATAGCTCTAATTTGCTAGTCATTATTATTCTAAGCTCCTGGAGTCACCGTGTATACTGGGAGATAGAAATATACATATAGATCCATGTTCTCGGACGACCATGTGCGTCTAGTTTAGACGTATTCATGTAGTTGGTCTCCGTACGTTTAGCGTCACCTTGACGCCAGACAGTTTCCTGTTACGCGGCCCTCGGTATTATTAGCATCTTTATTGACAAAATATACACATTTTTAGCTAATCGAAATAGTTCATTTAGGTGTTAACACAGTGATAAAACGCTCGTATTCCCTGTCACAACCGTCCCGTATGACAGGACAGATACTGTTCCTTCTGTCACACATGAAAACAGGTCTCTATCCGTCATTCTCACGACACCTGTCTCACTGGTGACGTCTCTTATGACCGTGGGTGACGGGGAGTCAGTGTTCCCTGGCACTCTCCTCTCACATCTGTCTAGACCAGCACAAGGAACTCTGGCATATAAACATATATTGGACATATATGTTTCCTGCTTCATATACGACTCATATAAAAGACCTGAGATAGATTTATATAGAGTCTTGAGGCGTCCAGCAGACACGCCACAAGGACCCCGACATCAAGAGTAATTATAATAGTGTTATAATTACCATAACCAAACATTTTGATTTATTATTGGTTATAATAATTGGTTAATGGTTCATGTTCTAAATGTTGGTTGTAACCAGGTCGTAGGATTTTGGTTGTACCAAGAGGTGGTACAGTGGTTGTGTTGGTTGTACCAAGAGGTGGTACAGTGGTTGTGTTGGTTCGTGGTGTTACAGTATGATGAAGAGGGTGGTGTTGCTGTATGATGAAGAGGGTGGTGTTGCTGTATGATGAAGAGGGTGGTGTTACTGAATGATGAAGAGGGTGGTGTTACTGTATGATGAAGAGGGGTGGTGTTACTGAATGATGAAGAGGGGTGGTGTTACTGTATGATGAAGAGGGTGGTGTTACTGAATGATGAAGAGGGTGGTGTTACTGTATGATGAAGAGGGTGGTGTTACTGTATGATGAAGAGGGTGGTGTTACTGTATGATGAAGAGGGTGGTGTTACTGAATGATGAAGAGGGTGGTGTTACTGTATGATGAAGAGGGTGGTGTTACTGTATGATGAAGAGGGTGGTGTTACTGTATGATGAAGAGGGTGGTGTTACTGTATGATGAAGAGGGTGGTGTTACTGTATGATGAAGAGGGGTGGTGTTACTGTATGATGAAGAGGGTTGGTGTTACTGTATGATGAAGAGGGTGGTGTTACTGTATGATGAAGAGGGTGGTGTTACTGTATGATGAAGAGGGTGGTGTTACTGTATGATGAAGATGGTGGTGTTACTGTATGATGAAGAGGGTGGTGTTACTGTATGATGAAGAGGGTGGTGTTACTGTATGATGAAGAGGGGGTGGTGTTACTGTATGATGAAGAGGGGGTGGTGTTACTGTATGATGAAGAGGGTGGTGTTACTGTATGATGAAGAGGGTGGTGTTACTGTATAATGAAGAGGGTGGTATCACTGTATGATGAAGAGGGGTGGTGTTACTGTATGATGAAGAGGGTGGTGTTACAGTATGATGAAGAGGGTGGTGTTACTGTATGATGAAGAAGGTGGTATCACAGTATGATGAGTGTGGTGTTACTGTCATCACACACTTTTAAATCCACACCTGGTGGCTGAGAGGACAGCACTCGGTATTCGTAATCGTAGAGTCTGGGAATCGATCCCCGATGATGGCGGAAACAAAGGGGCAGAGCTTCTTTCACCCTGATGCCCCTGTTCACCTAGCAGTAAATAGGTACCTGGGAGTTAGACATCTGTCACGGCTGCTTCGTGTGTATGTGAAAAAAAACTAATTGACAGTTAAGAGGCGGGCCGAAAGAGCCAGAGCCCGTCCCCCGCATGCACAACTAGGGGAATACAACTAGGTGAATACACAGTTTTGTATCCACAGGCTTTACAGGTTCTGGAATACAGCTTCCTTTCTATTTTTATGCAATTGCATAAAAAATGCAATTGTTTTGTAGTGGCGTTCTGGAGTCTTGAGCACGGCGTCTGACGCCCCCAAGGAACGCGGCCCGGTCGGCCTGACGCCGTGACGCCACTCCCAGGTACCTATTTAGTAGAAGATCTCATTCCGGAAAAGACTAAACACTACCAAGAGGAAAGTTAATTACTTTCAGGCACTTTTAGATTGCCCCGAGAACGCCATATAGCTTGGCTAGTTGTTCTGGCGAGCCACCAGTGGCAGGTCAGGCTCTGGCCAAGATCATACAAGCGGTAGTTACCATATGTCGGCTAATGACATCGTTCCAGACGACCCCCGACACTTGAATTGGCTGAAGACCTCTTATCTCTAATATTCCGGTCGATCAGATACAACCATGTGGAAATTTCATCAGTCTCCATCTTAATATAAAAAATTTAAAAAAATCTCAATTTTACCATTTTTTCATTATATTTCACAAATATAATGATAAAGTATATGATACAATATTTTTTACGTTAAATATTTACAAGTGACACGTAAGTGATGATGATGATGATATGTGAGTCGAGGGATGATTGACACCTCAGGAGGTAACCAGATTAGGCAACGTGGCTTCCGGACATCAATCATGCGTTGTGACGTTATTATTTGTTAAAAACAATACATCACGTTAGTGTGTTTATGGTTTATCATACCTGTGGAGAGATGTATCGGTGAAGCTTTAGCTGATACTCCATATTTTGGTTAATACTTGCGACACACGCAACACTGCCTGCGACACACACAACACTGCCTGCGACACACACAACACTGCCTGCGACACCCAACACTGCCTGCGACACACAACACTGCCTGCGACACGCAACAATGCCTGCGACACACAACACTGCGACACGCACAACACTGCCTGCGACACACAATACTGCCTGCGACACCCAACACTGCCTGCGACACGCAACACTGCCTGCGACACACAACACTGCCTGCGACACGCAACACTGCCTGCGACACGCAACACTGCCTGCGACACACAACACTGCCCTGCGACACACAACACTGCCCTGCGACACACAACACTGCCCTGCGACACACAACACTGCCCTGCGACACACAACACTGCCCTGCGACACTCAACACTGCCTGCGACACACAACACTGCCCTGCGACACACAACACTGCCCTGCGACACACAACACTGCCCTGCGACACGCAACACTGCCTGTGACACACAACACTGCCCTGCGACACACAACACTGCCCTGCGACACACAACACTGCCTGCGACACCCAACACTGCCTGCGACACCCAACACTGCCCTGCGACACCCAACACTGCCTGCGACACTCAACACTGACTGCGACACACAACACTGCCTGCGACACTCAACACTGACTGCGACACACAACACTGCCTGCGACACACAACACCGACTGCGACACGCAACACTGCCTGCGACACGCAACACTGCGACACACACAACACTGCCTGCGACACACAACACTGCGACACACACAACACTGCCTGCGACACACAACACTGCCTGCGACACACAACACCACCAGCCACGACACCTGCTGCGTACACACGCACACACCTGTTATACACTCGCTACACCTATAACAGTAACACCTAACCCCGCAATTAAGGAGCGGTGGCGTGCAGCACAAAAACAAGATAACGACACGATATCTATTGATCTTATAACGATCCCGTCATCAAACGGGCGACATCGTGCATCACAGTAATCTTGCCGACACCTGATGCCCTTATTGACACCGTGTCATGGGTCATAACTCGACGCACATAGTCAATATACGCGATAAGAACTGCTGAGAAGATGTCTGAGGATAAGTTAACCATTATGTCTTGGAATAAATTGATCACTATCTCTCGAAATAAGTTGATTCCTGTTTTGGGGAATAATTTGATCATATTTCTGCGTATATTCCCGCCTTGGTAGGATTAGGGATAGAATATTCTTCTTAGAATATTACGTCTATTACGCTAAATATAGCAATTGTCAGCTAATGTTTCTTTAACACCGTCTTGCTAAATCAGTTGTCCCTCTTTCTCGTTTTCTTACTTTACCTTCTACTGATGTTCCCACTCTTGCTGGAGACGACCTGGTGAGGGTTCAGGACGGATGGGAGGGTCGTCACCATATTTCTCTTTCTCTCCATTAACTAGGTGTGAATTGCGTTATTAATTATAAAGTGTCTGCTATTAAAGGCACCCAGTAGAAGTAGTGGATTGCTGGGCAGAACGTTTAGTCAAGAGTGGGAAGATGCGCAGTCGCCTGTGTTCAGGGTAGACTCGTCCAAGTGGCAGTCGAGACCAAGGACGCAGTCACCAATTTTAACGTATTGTATACTCAAAATAATTGTTTTGAATATAATAGTGATATATACTTATTTATTTTATTTATTTATTTATTTATATACAAGAAGTTACATTGGGGGTTAACAGAGAATATAGAAAATAAGTTGAATTGACATTCTTGTAAAACGCACGCATAGCGTTTCGGGCAAAAACTTAGGTTACGTTAAGTGGTTAGGTTTTATTGCAATTACGTGTAATTACATTACGAGGGTGAAGCAATGAGACTGGTGTGGTTTGATCAGCCGATCCTCAGGCTGATTCTACTGAAGGGACTGACTCCCTGGTTAAGGGGACAGAAAAACAGACTAAGTCTCGGGTAAACTCGTTTTCTTTAATAAGCGCTAAGGCTAAGGTTGTCTTTAATGTAAAATTCTAAGGGAAACGGAAGCAGGCTAGCATTTTCCATTTCAAATGTTTTAGAATGCAATAAACTTAACTTGCCCAAGCCTAACCTAACGAAGGATAGTAAGTACATAAGAGCACTAATTATAGCGTGCATTTAGATTGATTATAATGAAGGTACATGTCCCCCTGAGGACGCTTAGTTTCCAGGGGCGGGTTGGGAGGCACGTAGAGTTATTTTTTTTAGCTTTATCTAGCCATAAATAAAATAGAGAGGAATACGAAAACGATAATTAATTCAGCTTGAGGACGGGTTTCACTGCAACAGGAAGGAATTACCAATGTGGTTCATTACTGGGAAGGCCGAGGTTATAACTGTCAAGTGGGGTTCACTGAACTACCATTGAGAACTTGTTAAAAAAATACGACAGAATACTAGTATATGCAAACAAATAAAGAACAAAGTTATTGTAACTAAGTGCTTTTACTATTTTTTTCGAGAGGCGTCGGATGGGGTTGTATTTAGCAGATGGTAGGGGGCAGACGACGAGCTAAGAGAGAGGGGAAAAGAGGCTGAGAGTGAGGGAGAAGGGAGATAAAGAAAGGAGAAGAGAAGAAGGGAAACAAGTCACAGCCCCGCTCAAAGTCCACTACGGGCTCACTATAGCCCGTACTACATGCAACTTTTTGTTCCTAATAGCTGAATCTAAAACAACATAAAACAGAAGGGAGAGGAAATAGTGGAGGAGGAGGAGGAGGAGGGATGGGGAGAAAGACAAGAAAGAGAAGCTTGCCCGAACCTTCATTATGGGATGATCTTGCTCAGGCTGCGGCCACAGTATCCTGGTGTCCCTACACGACCGGGAAGGCAATATAGGCGAGCAGCGAGGCGTCGTTATTGGCCAGGGGAAAAAAGGCGGCGAGATCATGATGACGTCCATCAGTACTCACCTGGTTGTACTCACCTGGTTGCGCTTGCGGGGGTTGAGCTTTGGCTCTTTGGTCCCGCCTCTCAACCGTCAATCAGCTGGTGAATGTGGCCTGCTGATCCCGCATGTATGTACTCTGCTTCTTCACCCCAATATAAGCATATGTAGGTACTCTGATCCGATGTAGGTTTCAGGTCCAATGTTTGTTGATAAACTGCTTCTGGCCAGGCTTAGAGTCTTCTAGGTTCCCGGCAGTTCTTCATTTGCTAACGAGACTTTATAGACCGGCGTCTAAGGATTACTCAGCAGAGACCCAGAGACACTTCAAGATGTTACATGACCAACGATTACATTCACTTCAAAAATCTACCACTTACGGGCTACTCATGCCCGTGCCACCTCTTGGGTGGCTTAATCTTCATCAACCAACCAATCAGTATCTCCTTGTGTGTTCCCAGATGACTGGAGGCGGGAGGAGCGTGGTGTTGTTGGTGTGTGTGGTGGCGGGGCCGGCCTGCCTTGCCTCCGTGGCGGCCTTCGACCAGGACCGGGTCATCTACAAGTGGTCGCCGCTCTGGTTCAACAACCACTATCGCAGAGCCAACCTCTACAAAAGGGTGAGTTAATAGCTAAATAATGGAAATCCACAAATCCTCGAACAATTAAAATTACTAAATAAAATAGAGCTCCTCTCTTGCAGGTACAAACGATGAACCAAAATATATAGTTATGGACATTTGAGACTGCAAGAGTGAGTGTGACGATTTAAAATTTTAGCAAATAGCTACACATGATTAGAGTAGAGCAAGTGTTTATGACAAACTACATAGGTAGCATATTAGACAAGATGTCAACCTAGTTATTTATAATAATAAAAAAATTTTTATTATTATTTTCTACCACAGACGTGGCCACACATTTACAATGCTAACCAGCATATATACATTTTCTTCTGTCCTCCATGGACAGGGTTAGAGATGTATTAAACATATAGTTCAGGGGTTATAATTATAAAGTGTTAAATGTTTCCACTTTGATCGTACGAGAGAGCGTCAAACATGTTAGCCTGGTGTTCAGTACTCAGAGGAACGTAACAGGTCATGTTCACAGTCCCGTCCGAGTGACAGTATGTGTTCATACCAAACACTCCGGCCTTACTCTGTGAACACACATGACGGATTCACCGAGGCTGACCGCGTCCACGACCCTGAACTCTTTGCATGAAATTGCGATCATTTACGCATGTTTCTGTTCGATTTTGACAATTCTTTTTATTATTTTGTTTAATTTAAGACGCCGGACGGGAAGCGTTGTGATTGTATAACTCCGGTGCCGGAGTTTACCTCAGGATATTTGTAAGAAATAAATAATACATTTTATTTTAGTATCCCGTATGTTTATGACTTTCAGCTCCGGTCTTTATAAACCATTTATAGGAGAATGCAGCGGGAGGGTGGGTTGACTTCCTCCTACCTAGGTATCTCGGGCGGGGTGAGGTTAAACACAAGTCTCCTATCTGTCACCTGATGTCCATTCAGGGCGGAGGTCAGGTCACCCCTAACTTCCTCCCCGCCCTGACCTTGTATGTTCTCGTATAGATCTGCATACAGGGTCGAACGTTAGCTTCCGAGTCCCGCCTTTACAGCTTATGGTCAATTAATATTATGACTTGCATTCCTCGCGTTGTTTTTATATTTCCTTATGAAGTTGCTTATGGAATTCGGCTCCATAGTTTCTTACCAGACTTTATAAAAGGACGATCACCAGTGGTCCAGGTGTCTGGAATCTGTACACCATTGATTGATAGTTGAAAAGTGGGGCCAAAGAGCCGAAGCGAAACCCGCGCAAGTACAACTAGGCGAGTACAGACTTGATCCACCATGAACATATCACCGGCCATACGCTGTGCCACTAACGTAACCAAATACAGTGCCGGAAAAGGTCACTAACTTAGTAAGGTGTGGTGTCTGGCCCCTGGCGAGGCCACTAATTCAACACGAGTGCCTGGCTACACCACTACTTTACCATACTCTCTCTTCCAGCCAGGCCAGTAACCCAGGAGGTTGTGGTGACCGGCCAGGCCACTAACCAAAGAGGTCGTGGTGACCGGCCAGGCCACTAACCAAAGAGGTCGTGGTGACCGGCCAGGCCACTAACCAAAGAGGTCGTGGTGACCGGCCAGGCCACTAACCAAAGAGGTCGTGGTGACCGGCCAGGCCACTAACCAAAGAGGTCGTGGTGACTGGTCAGGCCACTAACCAAAGAGGTCGTGGTGACCGGCCAGGCCACTAACCAAAGAGGTCGTGGTGACCGGCCAGGCCACTAACCAAAGAGGTCGTGGTGACCGGCCAGGCCAGTAATTCAATCAGTGGTGTCTGGCCGGAACCTATTACCAAGAGTGCATTAGAAGTTTCCCGGGTTATAAGGTGACAGAGAGGGTGAGAGAGAGGAGGAAGACAGGAAGGGAAGGCTTGAAGGGACGAAGAAAAGAGGGTTGAAGACACGATGGGAGGGAGAGTGAGTGAAAAGGGAAGTGTTAAGAAGGGGGGGGGGTGACTGAATTACTAACGAGAGCAGACTTAAGCATGTACAACGAAGGACGCCAAAGTTACCTCACAGGAATTGTATGGCTCCCATATGAAGAGAGTTTCAGAGAATACTTTACATTCTCTAGACTGACGAGGAGTAAGGGGTGACATGACAGGTGTATAAACATGAATGAAAAAGAGTATAACAGTGAACATTAAGGCATTGTAGAGGTCACTGCATCAATTCGAAGCATGATCTTTCATTATCTTCTCGAGCGGGAAGGAAGGTAAGAGAAGTTTAGAAAAGGGCGAGCTACCAATGTGCAGGGAAATGTCCTTGATTGTCAGAGAGAGAGAGAGAGAGAGAGAGAGAGAGAGAGAGAGAGAGAGAGAGAGAGAGAGAGAGAGAGAGAGAGAGAGAGAGAGAGAGAGAGAGAGAGAGAGAGAGAGAGAGAGAGAGAGAGAGAGAGAGAGAGAGAGAGAGAGAGACACTGTGCATTCTCAGCTCAGCTGTACTCGAGTAATCCATTTTGAGAGATGTTGACGTACCGCACAGAAGACCTGGAGGGAGTCAGTGCAGGCGTCGGGGAAGGTTAGTCGAAGATTTAATGAGCTACTGAGAATCTTCAACAGGTGTTTATCTTTAACAAAAACAAGAGAAGTGACTAACCGCAGATATTACGTGTCAACGATACCTATTGGTCACACACACACACACACACACACACACACACACACACACACACACACACACCACAACACAAGTCTTCTAACGCCAACCCCCTCAATTAAACATTAAAATTTATCACATACTATTTAAGAACATATAAACCATGTCTTACTATTTAATCTGCCGGAGGTAGCAGCGAGGTAACCACAGGTGTTGTCTTCCGTCAGTTCCGGGAGGAGCCCATACAGAAGTGGAGCCCCGAGTACCTGTCCAGACCCAGCCACTACCACTACAAGCGGGTCAGTATATCCAGTAGTCTCTATTGTCCCAGCCCTTATAGTGACCCTTCACTGTCCCCAGCCCTTATGGTGACCTTCACTGTCCCAGCCCTTATGGTGACCTTCACTGTCCCCAGCCCTTATGGTGACCCTTCACTGTCCCCAGCCCTTATGGTGACCTTCACTGTCCCAGCCCTTATGGTGACCTTCACTGTCCCCAGCCCTTATGGTGACCTTCACTGTCCCAGCCCTTATGGTGACCTTCACTGTCCCCAGCCCTTATGGTGACCTTCACTGTCCCCAGCCCTTATGGTGACCTTCACTGTCCCAGCCCTTATGGTGACCTTCACTGTCCCCAGCCCTTATGGTGACCTTCACTGTCCCAGCCCTTATGGTGACCTTCACTGTCCCCAGCCCTTATGGTGACCTTCACTGTCCCAGCCCTTATGGTGACCTTCACTGTCCCCAGCCCTTATGGTGACCTTCACTGTCCCCAGCCCTTATGGTGACCTTCACTGTCCCCAGCCCTTATAGTGACCCTTCACTGTCCCCAGCCCTTATGGTGACCCTTCACTGTCCCCAGCCCTTATGGTGACCTTCAATGTCCCCAGCCCTTATGGTTACCTTCACTGTCCCCAGCCCTTATGGTGACCTTCACTGTCCCCAGCCCTTATGGTGACCTTCACTGTCCCCAGCCCTTATGGTGACCCTTCACTGTCCCCAGCCCTTATGGTGACCTTCACTGTCCCCAGCCCTTATGGTGACCTTCACTGTCCCCAGCCCTTATGGTGACCTTCACTGTCCCAGCCCTTATGGTGACCTTCACTGTCCCCAGCCCTTATGGTGACCCTTCACTGTCCCCAGCCCTTATGGTGACCCTTCACTGTCCCCAGCCCTTATGGTGACCTTCACTGTCCCCAGCCCTTATGGTGACCTTCACTGTCCCAGCCCTTATGGTGACCTTCACTGTCCCCAGCCCTTATGGTGACCCTTCACTGTCCCCAGCCCTTATGGTGACCCTTCACTGTCCCCAGCCCTTATGGTGACCTTCACTGTCCCCAGCCCTTATGGTGACCTTCACTGTCCCCAGCCCTTATGGTGACCTTCACTGTCCCCAGCCCTTATGGTGACCTTCACTGTCCCCAGCCCTTATGGTGACCTTCACTGTCCCCAGCCCTTATGGTGACCCTTCACTGTCCCCAGCCCTTATGGTGACCTTCACTGTCCCAGCCCTTATGGTGACCTTGTGCACTTGAAAAAAACCCAATGAGTTGTATATCACTGCGATGACAACATTTTCTTCCAAGTATTGGCCAGAAGCCTATCGCTTCCTAACGTTCCAGCCTCTGCTACATATTATTTTGAAGCTTAACTGATAGACTGTACTACCAGCTGGATGGTAAGATAGATAATCTGGTTGTAGTAATAATTACACAGTACATTATGTTCCTGTATTGTGCGTCATACTGAATTACCTATGTATATCTATAAGAGCGAATGTACTCACCTAGTTGTGCCTGCAGAGGTCGAGCTTCGGGTCTTTAGTCTATAAGAGAAACTTCACAAATGTCATTTCTCTTTCTGCCTGTCGAAAGTAAGAGGTCAAACGCTTGCGGCGAGCCTCTCACAACTCTGCAAGAGGAATGGTCTAATAACATGATAATTATGCAGTTATACGAGATAGAATGTAGCGAAAAAAGTTTACTACAGATTCAGGAACGACTTGTCTCCACTCCTCAGTCACACACACATGAATGCACATCAGGTGCCTCCTGGCATGCTCCCGACTCTCAGCACATGAGGGGGAAGGGGTGGGGGTGGAGGGGGGGCGACGTCGGCATACTGTCCATGCCATTATATATAATCACAGGGGTGCCCGGTGAATGGAGGCGACCTTCAATCATGGGGGACAACCTATCCAGCTCTCTATAAATATACTTTATCATTTTATGGCAAATTAAAGATGACTTTTACTTTTTCTATTTTAATTTTTACCCCCCTTCCCCCCCTATTGCCCCCTACCCTGTATGGGTTGATGTTGAATTCTCTTTCAGCTTGTATCCCCCCCCCTCCCCTTTTCCCTTTACAACAAACCCCTCGCCCTACCCTCGTAACCAGTAAGCTTAACAACACCCCATCCCTCCTTTCCCGCCAATGACAAATCCCCTTTCCCTTCCGGCTGGTATAAGCGTCCGTCTCTCCCGCCACAGGACGGCAGCGGGTGCGGGCGGGAAAACTCAGTGTGCGCGTTCGTGAGCGAGGCGTCGGGACGGCTTGTGACCGCTCGCTGTTGTGGCGCCCTGAGCTGCCTCCCCGCCGGCGCCTCCTGGACCTGCCTCGACCCAACGTAAGTCCACACACCCGCCCTTTGTATTTCTGACACTCGCACAGGGATGTACATGCTGCTTCACTCTGGCAACCACATGGGAATGTACGTTCTCCCTTAGCCTCTACGAGTCGTAAGTTGATGTACAAGCTTATGTCTTAGCCCCTGCGAGTCGTAAGTTGATGTATAAGCTTATGTCTTAGCCCCTGCTAGTCGTAAGTTGATATACAAGCTTATGTCTTAGCCCCTGCGAGTCGTAAATTGATATACAAGCTTATGTCTTAGCCCCTGCGAGTCGTAAGTTGATGTATAAGCTTATGTCTTATAAGCATCTGTAACATCCACCAATCCATCCCATTTAGATGGTACTTTACGCAACAATGCTCATCATCGTACATATATTGACGTAAAAGGCAATTAGACAGTAGAATTGGTTACTATTCACTTTACAGTCCAAACTTTATATGTTGGAGGGGGGGGGGAGGGAATTCTTGAGCGCCGCCAACAGGTAGTTGGTGTTGGCCCCAACTACCTGTTGGTAGTCTAACTATAGTTAGATAGTTAGATAGACTAGATAGACTACCTATCTTGTTTGTTCCTACAGGACCCCGCTCTCGTTGGACGATCTACAGCCTCAGCTCGACTAAGAGACTCCACCAGTGTCTAGTCACAAGCAACACACCACCAGCGTCTAGTCACAAGCAACACACCACCAGCGTCTAGTCACAAGCAACACACCACCAGCCTCTACTCACAAGCAACACACCACCAGCCTCTAGTCACAAGCAACACACCACCAGCCTCTAGTCACAAGCAACACACCACCAGCCTCTACTCACAAGCAACACACCACCAGCGTCTACTCACAAGCAACACACCACCAGCCTCTACTCACAAGCAACACACCACCAGCCTCTACTCACAAGCAACACACCACCAGCGTCTACTCACAAGCAACACACCACCAGCCTCTACTCACAAGCAACACACCACCAGCCTCTACTCACAAGCAACACACCACCAGCCTCTACTCACAAGCAACACACCACCAGCCTCTACTCACAAGCAACACACCACCAGCCTCTACTCACAAGCAACACACCACCAGCCTCTAGTCACAAGCAACACACCACCAGCCTCTAGTCACAAGCAACACACCACCAGCGTTAATTGAAGGCATGATTCCTAACCCACCCGTTGGACCACTGGGGATCGAACGCCAATCTTGCAAGAAGCGAGGCTGTCGCTGTGCCTATCAAAGAAGTTAGATATAAGAGTTGAAATTGGAGATGACGATAATAGAGATAGTCAAGATACTGTGGTGTGGTTAAGCTTGAGAAAGTCGCTAAATTTTGGTATTTAGAGGCATAATAGAGAACGATATCATTCAATAGAGAACGATGTTGCCAAGAATACTATGGTTTAACGAGAGAACCCGACACGCAGCAACGAACAAAAGATTAGCTGGAGGGCGTTCGATGCTCCCTCGCTTGTTTTCAGATAAACAAAATTTATGTAACTTTTTCTAAATATTATCTACAGTTCTCTTAGTAATTGTGTACTATTAAAAAAAACTGCTGTTTATAAATGTCTCTTGTATAATTCCCAATTGTTTTCATTCTCTCATCAATTCTAAGATGTTTAGCATCTTAGAATTGTAAGTTGATGTTTGTGAATACCTAAAACATTTAGTTTTAACTGTTCCCCCATTACATATGTGCAGTTTCTCCCTCTTGTTTTAATGTCATGTCCTCCCCCTAAAAGATGTACATCATTTACTATTTTTTTTAACAGTTTAGATGTCATCTTATTCCTTGTTTAGCATTGTCTACCTCATTAAACCCTTAAACAACTTGCTGAGTTATTTAAAGTTATGCCCGAAACACTTTGTATTAGTGGTTTTATATTAAATATACATTCTCTGTTACCATTATTATACCACCGTACCATATTATTATTCTCTATATTTTTGTAAATAAAAATTATTATGATTTTTATTATATTTAAATTTGGTTCTAATGCGGCAAGATCCAATATTTAAACCAAGCTGTTTATCGGAACTTTTGAAAGTGTTGGCACCTTTCTTTGTGACTGTTTACCTTTGTCTTTCAGTACTAAAAGAAGAAAAACACAATTATATTAAATATTTGAGGGTTTAGTGCAGTCGGGTTCGTGTTCGACTCACCTGGCATCCTGGCACTGATTGGTGAAGATTAAGCCTGGCACTGATTGGTGAAGATTAAGCCTGGCACTGATTGGTGAAGATTAAGCCTGGCACTGATTGGTGAAGATTAAGCCTGGCACTGATTGGTGAAGATTAAGCCTGGCACTGATTGGTGAAGATTAAGCCTGGCACTGGTTGGTGAAGATTAAGCCTGGCACTGATTGGTGAAGATTAAGCCTGGCACTGATTGGTGAAGATTAAGCCTGGCACTGATTGGTGAAGATTAAGCCTGGCACTGATTGGTGAAGATTAAGCCTGGCACTGATTGGTGAAGATTAAGCCTGGCACTGATTGGTGAAGATTAAGCCTGGCACTGATTGGTGAAGATTAAGCCTGGCACTGATTGGTGAAGATCAGTGCCAGTGCCTGGCACTGGCTTCTTTGATTCTCCAAGTGTCGTCCTTTACCACTGTCGAACAGCCTCGTCAACACTTTTTAACCCAAGCATTTCCAAGTACTTTTCTATTGTGCATTGCTATATCACTCTCACTTTCAACATGCAAAGATCTTATCTATAGCATTTAATATATATCATGCAGAGTGGTTTTGCTAACTTTGTATCTAACGCGACGCTTGTAGGAATACCAGATTCAACTTACTTTATATGCTGAACGTTTTGTATACAATTCATCACAGGATATTTTCTCTTGGCTTCACCGCTTGTTGAAACTTGGAACAACAAAGTTCCTGCATTTCCTGACGCCATAGTGGCAGGATGTAACACACATACCCGGATACAAAACGGTGAAAAAAGCTGAAGGGCTTTGACGGCCGCGGACAAGCACAGACACAAAGACTTAGTCGTCGGAGCAAGTGAACAGGTCGCGCCACGTCAACTCGGTGGCCGACCGCCAAACTAATTTTAATTTTTTTTTGTTCTTGTTTTTATTTATATATTCAAGAATTCTTATATTCTTGTACAGCCACTAGCACGCATAGCGTTTCTTGCAGGTTCTTAATCCTAATTTTCCCCGGAATACGACCTGCCAAATCGTTTAACAACCAGGTGCCCATTCATTATTGGGTGAACAGAGGCTACAGTTAAGGATTAGCACCTAGTCAATCCTCCCCGGCCAAGATACGAACCGTTCGAACACATCTCGAACAATGCTCGCGAAGCGCCGGGCGAGTGTTTCACCACTGCGCCACGGGGAATGAAAATAGACTTTTCGTGGAGAAGCTGGTTTTAGAGGTCCTTGGTCGTACTCTGACAGGCATAGTTGGAATAATCGGACAGCTGGAAGTCGGACAAAGGCGTCGGGCAGTGCATACATGGCCGTAGTTAGGTTAGATTTGGTGTTTAGGTTCTGTTATCATTAATTTGTAATATGTGGGTGAAGCATTTATACAGAGATGCGATTCAAACAGGTCATCAGCGAAGCACTGTTCGAGAAATGTTCGAACGTCATCATTTGTGTTGCATGTACAGCACAGTAAAGTGTTGTTCCTTTATAAACGGGGTTGCAGCCCATGTTGACGAGCATGGGCTACATTTAAAAAAATACGAAAAACATGCAAAATAAGTAGAAATCTCAATTCAAACAGACTGATAAGGAAGAAACCGAGTTGGCCCGAAAATGTGATAATATGGGATATGACAGCACAGGGAACGTAAAAGAAAAAGATTCCATGGTGGAATTGCAGAGGATGAAGGAATATTTGATGCCCGAAAGAAATTCATAGTTGAATCCGACCTTTTATCCTAAGATTCTATTATAAATGTCAAAGAATAAGACGAGCGTTTTAAAAATGTGGCTTCCAAATTTAGTGCTTTAGATCCAAAGCATTTTGATAAGGCATATAATGTGAACACATAATAATGTTTCATGTTATATCGTGGATATCGTCTGAGTTAGGGGTAACCATCAAGGTAAGGAGTATATACCACCTAATAGGGGTTAGAATAGGCGCGGCCCCCAGGGGGAACAATTCCCAGAAAATAATTATATAAGTATAGTCTGTCGTCTTGAGCAGATCATCTAACCCTGAAACTGATGGGTGATGTAAACTCCAGCTGAGATTTTACTTTAATATAATTTATTAACCGCCCCCCCCCCCAAAAAAAAAAAAATGTACACCAGAAATACTTTACCACCTCGATCTTACGTTACCTCAACAAACAAGTATTAAAGTCTGCTTTTCCTTAAGGGGCAATAGCTTAACTAAATGAGTATAATTGCGTCAAACACGTGTTCAGTGGTCAGTACCTAGATCTAATTATATGGAACTCAAGGGTTTGAACAGGGAACCAGTTTGACCAGACAAAATTACACTTAGAACCAAAGGATAGCACATGATACGGGGTACTTAACTTTGTTACAGTAAAGAAGTAGAGGAGGAAGGGACGCCCAGCCAACGCCCCACCAAGCCCAAGGTTGCTGCAGAAGAGACCTGTCAATCAGTCCACACGTACTCGCCATGTGGCTAGCTGCCTACATGCTATACGACCCTGACCCCATTTGCCACAGTGCAAAACTTGATCCAGGGTCGTAACATTTAGAAAACACATACTCATACGTCATCCAATCAAACTAAAATTGTACAAGAGTTTCTTTTATTCAAAGACATGTACAGAGAGACAATGAGCACTAGCAGTGTGGCAAATTCACAGCCCGATCTCATCAACAAAGGCCAAATGTTCGTCGATTCAGACCCCCAAACTCCTTGTGTATGAATGGAAAACGTCAACAGTTGTGAGTCGTGTGTAAACCGTTTTTCATTCATAAACAGAGGGTTTGGCAGGTGCATGGAATCACTTTTGGATCTTTGTTTGGAGGATGGGCTGTTACACGACTCACAACTGCTGACGTTCGAACACTTCCCGAACAAGTGCTTCATTAACGAATTTTGTTCGAACCCCAACGCTGTAAATGTTTCACCCACGTACTACAAATGCAAATAATCGCCAACAGAACCTAACCTATGTCTATATATGCACAATATACTAATATATTATAATATTAATTTATATTTGAGAAAATTCCAATTTTGAATGAACAGCATGTACAAATTTATGAACGCGTCTGTGGGGTCGACCGCTGGACGGAATGGACTAGAGTCGAGGATGGGTTGCTGTTCAAAGGGTGACCTTTTTACACAACGCTGTAAATGCTTCATCCACACACTTCAAATATAAATAATTAGCCCATCCTCATAAACAAAGGCCAAAGTCCCTTTCATGCACCCGCCAAATCTTGTTTATGAATGAAAAATGGTTTACACACGACTCACAACTGATGATGTCGAACATTTCCGGAACAAGTGCTTCAGTGACAACTTTTGTTCGAACTACAATGCTGTGTAGCGAGTACAAACAATATACTCACTACAGCCTCTCATTAGCTTAATGGCATAACTAATTAGCACCAATTACAGGAGTTATAATCCTTTCTCTAATTACAGGTAACATTCTTTTCATCCTGTTGGAGGAAGCTGAAGTGTAGTTACCAAATATAAGCAAGCGATATGCGAATAGCCAAATACAATTTCCACAGCGATTCAGATAACTGCAGTACAGACGCTTTGGATTTACCTCACCTCGTGAGTGAAGAGGATCAATGCATCTTGGAGGATGGCCACAGCTTGAACGAGCATGGCCTGAGAATGGGGTACAAATTCAAGTGACAAAAAACAGTCTGTAATGATTGGGTGTGATTTGTAGGATTATTTCTAGATTAAATACTCTTTTTTGTTTAAGTATCTTATATTTACTCTATGTTGTACATACATAGTGTCCATACCAATGAGCAGGAATTGTTCTTACAATAAATATACCGACAATATGCTTTCCTCACACCTGATATAAAAACACTATCAGCAATAAACTTAAATTCATGATTGCCAATGATGAGTTCCATTTATCTTAACCTGTTCAACAGCAATTCAGACAAAGGCCCTCTGGTAGATGGACCTACATCTGGTAGATGATATATGGCCCTATAATAAATATTTATTTTTTATTTACTGTATTTACAAAAAGGTACAATGGGTTTGTGAAAGTACATAGTACACAGTATTGGTATTTTTACATTCTTGTAAAGCCACTAATTTGCATGGCATTTTAGGCAGAACATCCCCAAAATATACCATCGATCTGCTCTCCTCCCACCTGATACAGGTATATAACACTGACCATTAGCAATGTACTTAAATGCACAATCGCCTATGACGTGTTCCATTTATCCTAACCTGTTCAACAGCTATTCAAACAAAGGCCCTCTGATAGATGTAGTATACATGAACTTTGCTGAAACTTTTGATAAGATAACATAAGAAAGACTAGCAAGGAGATTACAGGAACATGGAATAATTGATAAAATAAATAAAAAACATGGATGTACGACCATGATGTACACCAGGTAAGTTAGAGACATGCGGGTGGCCCTGGGGAACCTGGGCCACCTGCCGTAAGTGAAGGATGAGCATATCACAGTAGGGTAGTTTCCCTGTAGGAATCGCAGTTTGCCTTGCTTTTAATTTTCCCTTCCAGTAGTAGCTCATTTTGTTGCTCTTAACATTTCTGGTGAGTTTTTTTCTTTGGTATTGGGTAGATCTCTTGATTCCAAGGCCCCACTCACCTCATATGAAGAGAAATTCTTGTCCTGGCTTGCAGCACATCCAGGTGGGTCTCTCAGAATTCTGGAGTGATTTCCTAAGTTCACGACGCTACTGAGATAACTAACAGAATCTGAAATCTGGAAAACTAAATACAAAAAGTGTCTGAAACAATATACAGTAGTGTGAATTTTCGAGTTCACACTGCAAATAAAATGCAACCCATTTTACTATACAAGTAGTCTTAATAAATATTCATAATTATTTTGTGTAAGATAAACAAGCTTTTAATTGTAATTTAATTCATATTTATGTACACATTAAATGAAATAATGAGATACAGTACACCGCAACTAACACATGTGTAATCTTGCATTGCTTTTAAAATCCTTAGATTATCAAATAAAACCCTGGGCTCATTGTACTGTAAATTAATAGCTTTTCAGCATAAATATCCACAAAACTGCTAAGTTCTGTTATACTGAACTTTGCTATTTGGATATAAGTACAGTATACATTACACTAAGCGATGCTTAAAAGGTAGGGTAAAACACACACACACAATTATTCATCACATTCTTCTAACAAGCACAGCAATACAGGTGATCACTACAAACATCAGACTCGAACAATTTTCTGAATGAGAAACGTCTGTTGTACATAACAGTACAACTATTTTCAACTTTATCTTTGATGCCTTGCTTTCTCCAAGGGCCCTTCGTTTTGTATGCAAGAGTCAATACATAAAATTGTTCCAGACATTTTTGAAAAGGTTGGCACACCATACATAATCTTTCTGACACTTGTGATTGGGAGGCCCCATGTAGAATCCATTCCAGACATCCCTGACAGTTGGCCATATGCAGAATACACTCAAGACAGCGAAGAAATTCCAAAACATCTGTCAAAGAATTCAACACAATGGTTTGACTAATGTAAAATTGAAACAATTGGCACTTACAAATAACATGTAGAATATAATGTGAAAATACAAAAAGAAGCAGAGAACAGGTACACATTAAGGATGAGGTACCTTAGAGCAGTCTAGCAGCAAGAAGGGTCAACACAGTCGCCAGCAGCAGAGAGCCGTTACAGGTGCGGCAAGTAGCAGCAGCAGTAGCATATCCTATATTATCAGTATCTCCTGTCAATACATTCCACCAGGATTCAGCTGGAAAATTCATTTAAAATGCTAAATCAAAGATACATTAAAGAAAATATGACTACATTAAAACAAATCTGTGCCATGATATATGTAGTAAAGCAACATGAACTGTACTGCTGTAGTCATTGTTTTCTTAGAAATACAAGATTTCATAATTTTTTATTACAACCACTAAGCTAGTATACTAACTAGCCAAAGTTACTATTTCATTTGGAGAATGAATACATCCCATGCAAGTTTGTATAAAATTACATTGCTGGTTTGATTAAAATGGCTGATGTAAAATGCACTCAGCCTCTTTTGGCACTGTAAACAGCAAGTAACTACTGATTAGAATATAGTCAGCCCTCACTCTGCAGTATTTTAATAATGAAAATTGAACAAATAAAGTTTTTAGTAACAAATTTAACATATGATTAGTTTTACCCATAAAATAATGCAAGAGGTGTTTACAATCAAGATGTTTATATGGTAAATGATATAATAATACAGTTCAATGCTCCGAGTTCATGACTCCTCATAATTAATATCGTGGATATAAATAGGAGTTGCATAAATAGGCTCTGATTTTCATTCAGAATCTCATCACAATAGACAAAAAGACTGGATCTTTCATAATGTTTTGAGCCCATTTTTTTTTGTGGTTACTTTTGGCTGATATAATGTATTGTAGACTGTTGTTTTACTGGCTCCAATGGGTCCAATTCAGCCGATTCTCAGTGCTTCTCACTCGGCACTCAAATCTGGTTACATTTCCAGACCTTCAGAACCTCTGCCCATGTAATTTTCTCAAACTAATGTATTTGTGGATCACCATCTCATTCCGAATACAGTACGGTTTTTAGTTTTCCACCGTCTTCGCTGTTGTTGTAGGGGTTTGACATACCTTATTTACATCATTACTTTTCTTCTGTTCTAATGGAGCCATTTGGTTGTTGGACGAGATGTAGAACTTCTTGCCTTCTGGTTTGATCCTGGGACATCCCTACACTCAAATTCATAACATTGAAAGGCGCTCTTTTTACTGGCACATGCCTCAAGGAATAGTGTCGGTGAGCAGCATTCAATGTCCAATGATCTCGACTTTGAACTTAAGAGACAAGTTTATGTGGCTGTTTCTCCTTTTGTCCTGAATGAACCCTAACCCTGAACTTTGGAGAATCTCGGAAAACCCTGCTCAGAAAATTCCCTAGCATTAGCATTTAACGTCAACTTACAAAAGTCATCTAGGATATCATCTTCTTCAAGACCTCCACAAGTCCTATAGGGAACCTTTGTTGGGCGTTTTGGGTCAGAATAAACACCACGGATGGAGATTGTTGGGCTATGTAGGATGCCACCAGCTAGGATACGTGAGAAGTCGAGTTCTAGTTGGCCAGCTTGGGGTCCTGAAGGAAAAAAATTATCAGTGACCACATTGTGATAGTGATTAAGACATATGTTTATTTATATATACAGTATGCAAGAAGGTACAATGAGTTGTGAAAGTACATATGTTGGCAATTAAGTGGTACATTCTTGCAAAGCCACTAATACACACACAGCATTTTCAGCAGATAACTAGGAACTAATGAGAGAAAGGATCAGAAGGTAGTAGTGGTTCGTGAGTGGAAGGTAATAATCATGAACCAGAAGTAGCAGGGGTTTATGGGGTGATGATTTATCTGAAGGCCACCATCTGCCTAGTGACCTCGATGAGGACAGGAAGCTGGCAACTTGTCAAAGGTCACTCCATTGTTCCATAGAATTTTTTCCAAAGTAATGTTTTGGCATTTATAGGTTTGGTTGGTAGGCAGTTTCATAGGTTTATAACCCTATGGGTGAAAAAGCATCTCCTGCTTTCTGTCCTACATTGTGGTATATTAAGCTTAAAAGTTGTTGCTGCTTGTTTGCATTATCTTAGCTCTTTTGAAGAAGTGATTTGCATTAATATCCTCAAACTTGTTCAGTATTTAAAAGGTCTTGATGAGATCACCTCTTTCATGTCTGGTTTGCAGTTTTCAATCCTGTGGCCCTCAACCATTTCTAGTATGAGAGTTGGCTTAGTTTTGGAACAACTGTTGCTCTGTTTTGAACTTTTGCCAAAATAAAAAGGTCTTTTTGAAGGCGAGGTCTTCATGCTTGGATACGATAATCCAGATGATGAAATAAACATAATAAAGATGAGATATCAATACTGTATCTAATAAAAATAAAAAGTCATTACAAAAAAAAATACCTGATTTTCAGGGGACTGAGAGACCTTACCCATGAAATGGATGACAAAGGTCACACACTGCTGGTCAGAGGAGTAGGAGACTGTTTGGAGGTCGGCAGCCAAGTACCACTCCGGGGCTCCCAGCACTTCACGCATCTCCTCCATGAATGTTGTCCTGGAGAAGGTGAGGTGGTGTTATGTTAGGTGGGTACCAGACATCACTCGGTACCCCTACTCAAATCTCTTAATATGTTAGATATTAAGTCACTGCACATTCTCTCATGTGTATTATACATATATAAAACGCTAAACTATAATGCCAATCCTGATCTTAAAAGCTTCATAGAAGGTTGTAACAGAACCCATGAGCACCACACCAGAAATAAATACAGTTTTGATATTCCTAGAGTACGTCTTAATCAAACTAGAAATGCTCTGCAAATCAAGGGGCCCAGAATGTGGAATGACCTTCCCAACCATGTTAAAGACTGTACCTCTCTCAACCAGTTTAAGATAAAAACTAAACACTACCTAATAAATTCCCTGTAATCTACCTCACTCCTCTATTGTCAACCCATGTCTGTTATTTTCTTTTTTTTTCTTTTTTTTTAATCAACACTGTTTGTCAACCTATTGTATTTGTGCTGCTTTTTCAGTCATGTTCCCCCTTTTTTTTTATCTTTATTTGTATTTGTTCTCAACATCTTTTATTCTTTATGCTCAATTAGTATTAAGTTCTAGATATTAATGTTTTTCTTGCCCGAAACGCATTGCGTAATAGTGGCTTTAGGCACTGTATGTACTAGCTCTATCTATATATCAATCCATTAATGTAACATCACTTGTATGTATATACCTTACCTGAATAAACATCTGAATCTGAATCTGAATCTGTGGGAAAAAAGGCATAGGGAAAGATAAGGAAGAAAGACAGGAAAAATAAATGGTAGAAGAGATAGACAAAGCAAAGGAAAGAACTGTAGTAAAGTGTATTTTAGTGAAAAGTTTTTTATGAGCCTATGTTCACACAGGCAGTAACTTGACCCAAGAAAAATTTTGCTTGGGTCATTATGGGTAGATACTGAGTGTTGGTTCAGTGAGTATAGCATCATTTTAAATCTAGTGCACTTAACAAGATATAGTATGCACTTAATACTGCCAATTTCACCTCCATCCATCAATTAATTTGATAGTGAATACTCAGACACATCAGAATGAAATGTTTGATTTAGCTTGAAAATATACAATTCAATTTATTATGACAAGCGACAATGTATGAATTACTACTAGTCTGGCAGTGACTTGAAAATAACACACACATGTAGGTGTGTACTAAAGAGGATTATCTGATGCATTCAGCCATGTCCATGTTAACAAAAATCCTTCCAAGTCCAACAATATGTTTCCTTAACTAACCTTTGGGAATTTATCATCTATAATGAAAGTTCTGATATTCACTAAAATATCTTCAAAAGAATATTGGTCTCAGATAAGAGCTAAAACTCAGATTGCAAGATGTTATATTTAAGTGAATTAATCAATTGCATTGTATAATTCAGAAGAGAAAAATCCCTTTCCATCTCCCTAATCCTCATATTATAAATTTTATCTCTGCTATATCCCTATACTTTTTCATTCATTTATTTTCTCCTTCCCAACAATTTCATACAACACTCTCCAGTTCTTCAACTAATTATTCCAGTTTCCCAACTACCCACAGTTTCCCATCCAACTAGCCACAGTTTCCCACAACCCTCCCACCATCCTTTTGACTCGTCATTTTGCTAACCATCCACTAGTACTTACGTAGTGAACTTGGGTGTTTTCTTGACGATGACCCATTTGATGATATCATCATCTGGCTGAATGTTGGCGCAGGCAAACCTCTCAACTCCGGCATTTTCATTATGGATGATTAAGGCCCTGTTCATGATGCCGTGCGGACCAGCTAGAGACACAAGAGTGAAGACGTGAGAAACAGCAGGTGCGAGTATGAGCTTATGAGAGAAAGCATAAGTAATAATAAATTAAGAAAGGGAGTTTGTAATAAGCAAGATTGAAACAAAATTACGTTTTGAATAAACATGTACAGCTTCATTATGCTTGTGACAGTGATACTGTGTATGTCAAGCTCACTGAATGCTCCAATGGAGAGGGTTATGATAATCAGGTAGGGCTACAATTCCCATCAGTGCAGTAGGAATCTTTTCAAAACATTCCTGCCAGGCTGTATTGGTACTAGGGTGAAACTGAAGTGCTCAATCCAGCTCAGAGTGACCCCAGAACGTATACCAAGTACGAGTCAAAAGCCCTTTCAAGTCTTATCTGGCATCACAGTGACTACCAAGCAGTGTTCAGGATCAACTACTAGTTTCTCAACTTGCCACCACCTCCAACTGCCACCATATAAAAGCACTCAAGCTAACTACCTGGTCCTTAGCTTTAAATGCTGTGATTTTCTGACTAACACAAAGAAAACCTGCAAAAGGAAGAATTGGGGACTCCAGGGGAGAAAGGGAGCGAGTGTCATGTTCAAAGAGGAGCTTTTCACAAGCATTCAGTCCAACTTATGAGTTATCCTGCCTGGATACTCCCTAAGGCATGACAATAGAGAAGAAGATTACTCTGAAATTTCACAAAGGTTTTAAGAAAGACAAAGAGCAGAACATTAAAAATGGGAACTAGTTTAATAGATGGTATTTTGATTATTTATGAAGTCACTAATCACACATTGCTCTTTGGCCAAACCTTAAGATTAATAAGATGTAAGTTAGCATATACATAAATATAAAATAATTAAGAAATTAATTATATGCACTTTTGAAGAGTGATATTTATGCAAATACTAAAGAGAAATTCTGTAACTATTTAGAAATTTATGTAACTAAAACTATTTTAAATTCTGTAGCTTTAGTGGTATATTTATCAATTGTACATGTATAGTACTGTATTTAATACTAACAATAATCACAAACATAATTGGCTTAATTAAGATGATGAACTACAAGATTTATGCTTCTAAATTCAATTCAATTCTGATGATTAAATTCCATACATCAGAAAATGAAGAAATGACGACTTTTCAGTCCGTCGTGGACTATTATCAATTTGTTTCTTTATTTTCTAATGTGTGGTTTGGTGATCATATATTCAACCACATCATTGTGACTCATCATCTATAAATTAAATTCAGTTACAATGTACATATCATTATGCTTATTTGCTAGCTTAAGAACCTGCCTATAATGCTATGCATGCTGGAGGCTTTACAAAAGTGCACTATTCAACCACCAACATACATACTGTAACTACCTATTGTATCTTCTTTTATCTGAATAAATAAATAAATATATAAACTAAATAAAAATTAAGTTGGTAAAAAAGTATGGCATTTTATTGCATTCGGGAGATCACTCCACAATTTAGGCTCAAATTGCATGGCATTTCTGCTCTAGTTGAGTCACACTCTAGGAATATCAAAAAGATATGTGCATTCTGTCACCTTATGATTATTACAGTCCCTGGCAAAGTTATTTAGTTGTCACAGTAATTTCTATTTCCATGATGAAATACATGATTTCATTCATGTATTGACTCATCTACTGTACATGTTTCATTAATTGCTGCTTTTTTTGTTGTACTCACACAATGGAAGATTTCGATCAACAAAGACAAATCTCTTATCACCAACATCAATGGTGCCAAGCCGTCCCGAGAGGTCCCCAACATCACACCTGAGAGGCACCTCTGGTCCACACTCCCTCTCGTAGTAGTCCCGCTGAGGACAACAGTGTTGTTAGCAACAGAAAATGTGGAAATTTATCTGGTGATTATCAGTATTTCTTTGTATACACCTGCATGTATTTGTCTCAATGTATAATACTAATAATGAAAATAATAATAATAATAATACATGTACTGTAATAATAAATAATAATAATAAATAATAATAAATAATAAATAATAAATAATAAATAATAAATAATAAATAATAAATAATAAATAATAATAATAATAATAATAATAATAATAATAATAATAATAATAATAATAATAATAATAATAATAATAATAATAATAATAATAATAATAATAATAATAATAATAATAATAATAATAATAATAATAATAATAATAATAATAATAATAATAATAATAATAATAATAATAATAATAATAATAATAATAATAATAATAATAATAATAATAATAATAATAATAATAATAATAATAATAATAATAATAATAATAATAATAATAATAATAATAATAATAATAATAATAATAATAATAATAATAATAATACTAATAATGAAAATAATAATAATAATAATAATAATAATAATGAAAATAATAATAATAATAATAATAATAATGAAAATAATAATAATAATAATAATAATAATAATAATAATAATAATAATAATAATAATAATAATAATAGTGTACCAAGCTGGGAACTGGGAACGTGTCAAGGTCCCCATAATCGAGATCGATACTGTGTCCATGTGGTCACCCATCCTGTTAATCTCCACATAGTGTACACATCTACATCACTACACCAATAGCTGTATTTATCCCTTCAAAATACTGTAATAATTGAAAATTTTACCAAAATCCTGCACTGGAATTCAATAAAACTCATATAGAAAGATTAATATGCAAATGCAGATAACTCTTTGTATGCCAAGTTAAAAATTGTTGCCAAAGTAGACGTTCTTGACTGGAGGTTTTGCTGAATGTGGTTTTTACTAGAGCTTGATGTTGCTTGTGTAATTATCTTTAAAAAATTTGTTAATAGAAGTTTGGCTGAATTTAGTCCTTGTTTGAATTAATGAAAGAAGGTTTTGAAAATAGCCTTATTATAAAATGCAGACAGAAGTAATAGAATATTATATTTATAAAGAAGAGCAGTTACCTTATTAGAACCTACAAACATATGAGAGGATGGGTATGGCCCTGACGAAACCTACACACAAATGAGAGGATGGGTATGGCCCTGACGAAACCTACACATAAATGAGAGGAGGGGTATGGCCCTGGCACACAGATGAGAGGAGGGGTATGGCCCTGGCATATCCAATGCACAGCTGAGAGGATGGGTATGATCCTAGCATAGCCAACACACAGCTGAGAGAAGGGGTATGGCCCTGGCAAAACCAACACACACACACACAGATGAGAGGAGGGGTATGGCCCTAATATAACCAACACACATATACGAGGACCAGTATGGCCTTGACAAAACTTGGGGAGAAAATTTAGATTGTTTGAGGCTTACATCATTGGGAAAAGCTAGATGGATGAGATAAGGATTCCAGCGGTAACCAGCAGCCACACATCGGGACTGGAAGAACTTGACACCGGCATCCACCCCGACAGGATTTACATACACTGACCAGTTGTGGCGACGCGTCTGGGGAAAAAAAAAAAGGAGTTGTTTAATAAAAAAACTAGACAAGCTGGTTTATAATAATAATAATAATAGTAATAATAGTAATAATAATAATAATAATAATTTCTTTAGGAACAGTACATGCATAGTTGCAGCATTACAGTACAAACATTCTGTTAGATTTAAAGATAGAGGTAGTACATACAATACCTAAAGCCACTAGTACGCATAGCGTTTGAACTGTACCAGTACTTACGATGTACCAGTACAATGAACTGTATCAGTACTCACGATGTTTCGGTTGTTGGTTCCTGGATGGCGAAGGTTGATTTCAATAAATGTCTCATCAAAGGAACCATCCTGGTAGATGAGTTGACGCTGTCAAGAGAGATGAGAAAATTAGAGAGAGATTTTTGGGGAAGGGTTGCCATTGCCAAAATAAAGTGTTGAGCATAAAGAAATAACCCCCCCTCTCTAGATGGCACCTCAGTAACTCCCCAGCAGTTGTGGCACTGGCACCACAGGGACCGTGGTCCATACATCAGGCCTCCAAGATCATACTAACTCACCAGTAGCAATTGCCATTTCACACCAACCTCCATGTACCAGAAAGCAAGTGAAGATCAAAGAGCAACCATAACAAAAGTAAATTTTTTTATAAAATTAATATGCTTTATAAAAACAACCCAAAACTTGCATTAAGAAATGTTTGGTAGTCCAAAACTACTAAGAGCTACAAACATATGAGACACCTTCCCCAGCAATAATACTTCACCAATATGCTACAAGGCATAGCCTTGATCAAGGTACTCACCATCCTGATGTAGTGGATATAGCCCCATGATACTCACCATCCAGATGTAGCCTGCGGACCTCACATCCTAATGCATACCTAGGTGTAGGCCTGTAGGCCTCGCATCTTGTCAACCACTTGTGTACTCTGAGATACTATCCTGACATACCCAAAAGTCCAGCTTTTAGACACTCATCATCCTGACACAGCTCCAAGGACTCACTATCCTGAGATTACCCAAAGTGCAGCCCTGAGATGGTCACCATCCTGACAAAGCTCCCAAATATATTCCTAAGTCAATATCCTGACATGGCCAATGATTTAACCCTAAAGTATTCATTATCCTGACATAGTTCATGGTTTACCCCTGAAGAACTCACCATCCTGACGTAGCCCCAGGCATAGCCCTGAGGGTTGTGGAAAGAAGCTATTGCTGAGACCTGGCGAGCCTCACTGGGAGAGTAACCCCAGCCAATACTGCCACAAAACCACCTGCAGGAGCAGCAGGAAGAGGGGTGGGTCAGAGAAGTGTAACAAAAGATAAATTAACAAGATAACTTTGACTGCAACTGGGCCTGGAGCAGAATTCTGCACAAGGGGGAAGAACCTGTGGTCATGCTTCACTCTCCTTACAAGCCCAATTTACACGGCATCTTTCTTTCACAACTGCTCACTTCATCTCGGTTACCACACCACCTTCGTGACCTCCCTTCTTCCCACTTTCAACTGTGTCCACTTCACACAACCAGGGACCTTTGGTGCGATCCCCATTGCAAATGCATGTTTATTACGTTATTAAATTTTATTCCCAATTGATTATCTTACTTGCAAGCCTCTTCCCCTCCCCCCCTAAAAAATAATGTACTGTACTTAAGTGTAAAAATAATAAATCCCCATGTTGACCAGACCACACACTAGAAATTGAAGGGACGACGACGTTTCGGTCCGTCCTGGACCATTCTCAAGTCGTCCTGGACCAAGTCGAATGGTCCAGGACGGACCGAAACGTCGTCGTCCCTTCAATTTCTAGTGTGTGGTCTGGTCAACATACTTCAGCCACGTTATTGTGACTCATCGCCTGCATAAATCCCCATACTCAGTGTCATTTATAACTTATTATTTCATGCAAGCTATGATACTGGCATGCCCACATCAACAGTCCTACTTATGGGAGAGGCTATTTCATAAGGTTGAGAACAATTGGAAGACTAAAAATAGGCTCTACAGTGTTGTACACACTTGCAAATTTTTTGAAATACTGAACATTAACCACAATGCAACTAATTTAATTTGCAACACAACTCATGCCCCCAAACACATCACTAGCACCCCCCTCTATTTTGATCAAGAACTACTTACACCACTAACAGTACCACTGCCATCTGAAAATCACTGGAAATACTCACCTAGCATTCTTGACTTGTTTGTGAATAACAACTGAGCGGCCCATGATGGAGGTAGAACCAAAGAGTTGTAGGTTAGTGTCATTGTAGAAGGATTTTTTCCATGTAAGTCCCTGAAGCGTTCCATACTTGCCCGCCAGGTCTCCAGCCTCGTACAGGTCATGAGTCCCTTCACCAGGAGGTGGTGACATGGAGGGTGTCATATTGAGTGGATTGTAGTGGCCCAGGGTTGTTGCGGCTGCACACGGAAACTCCAGCTCCCCCTCCACAGGAACCTGACAAGGAAAGAATGCAATATTTTTATGATATTGGGGTGAAGGGATGTACAGATGAGGGAAAGTATACGTATATGCCCAAAATATGGGTAGGAACTAATTCCCTTATTTATTTATTTATATATTGTATATACAAGAAGGTACATTGGGTTTATGAGAGTAGAGTATACAGCGTCAATGTAAAAACATTCTTGCAAAGCCACTAACATACTGTACATAGCATTTCGGGCAGGTCCTTAATCTAACATATAATTTTTAAGTAGGTAATTTGTAGCAAAATTTAAAGAATATTAATATGCACATTGTAGTAAAATTTGAGGATTATCAACAGGAACATTTTAGCATAGATGAACCACAATGGCTCTGGCTGAGAGAGCATTTTATAGCCCTGAGATCAAAGAAAAACTAATTTATATTGACAAAAATGATAATTAAATTATATATTTTAAGGGCAGCTAGTAGAATTTGCAAACAGAGTGGTAGACAGCTGAAATAAGTTAAGTGAGAAGGTGGTGGATGCTAAAACTGTTAATAATTTCAAAGAGTTATATGACAAAAAGTACTGGGAAGGCAGGATACCATGAGTGCAGTTCTCATCTTGTAACTACACTTAGATAATTGTATGGCATATGTACACAAACTAGGAGTAGGTCTAAAATTAAGTGTACAAGTACAAAATTAAAAATATACATTAGAGCTAAAATACAAAATACTTGTACAGTAAAACTATTACTATTAGTAAATTTAATATAACAGAAACCAAAAGATATGAGATAATCAGAAGCACACAAATACAAACTTGAGATAAGTCAGCAAATGGACTCACCATGTGAATGTGGTATCCATTGGCTATTCCTTCAAGGCCTCTCAGGTCAACTTCAGTGTTGGTGAGGTCAAACTCCGACTCCTGGATGAACTCTACCTTGCCCTCCACTTTGCCAGACCCCTGCGTCGCATGCCATTTGCTCACTACACCCTTGTGCCGGAATCGTCGGTGGATCCTGTGGATCCCAGGAGACATGAGGTTATGTTGAAGACATGTGAGAAAGGGGGCAGATGGGGATGAGTGTACAGAAAGAATATGGAGTGATAGTGAAGAATGGGAAAAAGAAAAAGGTTTAGAGAGAGAACGATGGAGTGTGGTAGAAAAGAATGTGGCAAGGAAAATGATAGGAGGAAGGTAAGGATTTTTATGGTTAGTTATTTTTTAATTTCTTATTAATTTTTCTATAAAATTCAGTCTTCTCCCTCTTGACTTTGTTGTCCTTGAAGTCCTTTTTTACACAACTCTTCCCACCCTTCCCATTTCTGATGCTCTTTGCCTTTTATTTTTTAGTCCCCATCACTAATCCATCTTTCCAACCTTGATTCTACCCTGTCTCCATTGTCATTTTCCCCTCCTATTTTCTGCTTTCTTCTTCCTCTTCATTCCACTATAATGCTTTCTACACACCTTTCCTCTCTTTCAACTCACCCAGCACATGCCATCCTGTCTCCCCTGTGCTTGGGAGCATGATCATCATGTATGACAATTGAATGTCCCAAGATTGACTTGGGGCCTGAAAGTGGCAGGTTTGTGTCAGTCATGAGCCTCTGTGTCTGTGCCACACCTCGCACTGTGCCTGACACCTTCAGTGTGCCATGGCGAGTCTGCAGGTCACCCACCTCACAACGCTCAGCATTGTCAGTGTTGCAGTCTCTGTACACCTTCTCGGCCAGGCTGACCTGTCGGCAGTGAAGAAGAAGTGAATGCATAGGAAAGATTGTCATCATAGCAAAATAAAAAATGAAAAAATATTCTATTGTACTATTACAAATACACAAGTGTTAACGAAATGCTACTCTATTTAAGAGGAGCAGTGCAATACCCAGTTTGAGGAGGGCCATAAGGGGGTGAATTACAAGATGAATCAACACTTGTCCTAACCTTGTAAGGGTTGTAGTGAGGGCCAGCTGATACACATCTCATAGTCCAGTTGTAAAAGTCTCTGCCAGGAACATGCTGGTTGACATACCAACGGTGCTCACTCGTGTCATTCTTGCTACCATCTGAGTACACCAGGTGTGTTACCATCATCTGCGTGTCTGCCAATGGGTCCTTCTCCTCTTGCTCGAAAACGATCTCTCCCACTACTGGGTAGCGGAAGGTAACAACTGCACGGATCTGTGGAATAACTGGACGCAAGTTAGCACACACCCAGCGGGCGCCCGATTCCTTATGGATGACTACACTGCGTGTCATAATGGAACGTGATCCAAACAGTGGTATGTTATGGTCAGTGACAGTTGCCATGGCATCTTCAAGCCCTGTTAGGAGGCCATGTTTGCCACTCAGGTCCCCGAGCTCATACTGGTCATGGGATCCCAATCCAGCTTCTGGGGAGGTGCTTGGGTCCACATTATAGGGGTTATAGTGGCCCTTGGTTGCCCCACAGGGAAAGTCCCCTGGCCGGATTTGAGGTTTGGCTGGCAGCTCATGGATGTGGAAGCCTCCAGCATTACCAGCAAGACCCTTTAGGTCCAGTGTCATGTCTGTTGGTGCAAAGATGGATGCTTGCTGCAGCCTAATCTCTCCAGTAACACCCTGGGAGTTAAAAATGGCACGTGCTGATTTTGACTTTATTACCCTAAGTTTGGCACATGCCCATAGGTTGTCTGGGTGGAGGGCACCCATGACTGCCAGGTAAAGTTTGCGGGGACCTGACAAGTCAGGAAGGACCATCTTGGTGGTGGAGTAGAGCTTGCGGGAAAACCGAGATCTGTGGAGAGCCCGGAGACGAGGGTTAGGTTCCTCATTTCATGAATGCTGGATATAGGTCTAGTACTACTGTCTATGGCATTTCTTTTGCATCAACTTGGCAAATGTAAATTTAGTTTTGTTATTGACTTTAACCTTGAAATAAAAATATAATACCCTGATCTTTTAACATATAACTGCTGTACTGTAATGATCTCCGACATAACTAACCTGGCAGTGCCAACCCTGAGCGGGCCATGTGCATTAGTGAGATCTCCCAGTGGGCACCCATCACTGTCACACTTCTCCCGACCATCTGGATCATATATGCGACTCAGAAAGTTGCAAGATGGGCGGTCCTCTGTGTGAGATAATGATGACAAATAATAATGAAGAAATCACACATGACATCATTAAATTTGCTGATGACACAAAGATATGTGGTAAAGTGGGAAGCAAAAGTGATATTCAGGCTTTGCAAGACAATTCACAAAAACTACACAAGGGGTCAGAAGACTGGCAAATGCTTTACAATATTGAATAATGCAAGACCAGGCATGTAGGGCATAATAATGCACATCACAACTATCATATCAAGTAGCAGATTATTAAAGAAATGGATCAAGGAGTTATGAATCCCCAGTCATTAGAAGTTGCTCAGAAAATAGGAACTGCAGCAAAGAAAAAAAACCCACCCAGAACTTAGGAATAACCAAATGAGCCTTTTACTTAAATAAACAAGAAAGTGGTTACTCGGCTAAACACATCTCTGGTGTGGCTTCCCCTCAACAATTATATCCAAGTATGTAGACCCCACTTTTAAAAGGTTATATGTATTTGTTTTGAAAAAAGTTCAATGCAGACTGACAAAAATCCTTCCAGAACAAACTCAACTCCCATACCAGTAAAGGTTTAGAGTCTCAGGACAAACATCACTAAAAAAAAAACTCATCGAGACATTTAAAATCCTGAACAATATGGAAGATATTAATCCAGCACACATCTATAGAAGGTCCAATGTTACACCAGAGGCAACAGCTTTCAGTTCAACAAATCATAATGCAGGACATAAAACGGTAGAAGCTTTTTCACACATCGGGTAATAAAACCATGGTATCACTTACCTGCCAAATCTGTAATTTGCAGTTCAAAATTTACCTGGATAAAAAGTGTTAGGAATAATGGGAAAAAGCTTACATAAACTGCTGACTTGTCAAAAGAGATGATAAACCTCTGGTACACACAGGTAAACTACTGCTCACATGAGTAGTATGGGGTGCACAATAAACAAGTCAGTGGTAGTGGCTACAATTAAATTTATTATAGGAACCATGAGGAAGAAAGCCCCTTAATGACCTCATCCTCTGCTGTTCTTTCTCAGGGTCCAATGAACAGGGAGATGACAGCAGAGTGGGGAGCTGGCAGCAGAGTGGGGAGCTGGCAGCAGAGTGGGGAACTGGCAGCAGAGCAAGTAGCTGGCAGCAGAGCAGGTAGCTAAAGGCAGAGTAGGGAGTTGGTAGCAGAGCAGGTAGCTGGCAGCAAAGCAGGTAGCTGGCAGCAGAGAAGGGGGCTAAAAGCAGAGCAGGTAGCTGGCAGCAGGGAAGGGAGCTAAAAGCAGAGCATGTAGCTGGCAGCAGAGAAGGGAGCTAAGAGCAGAGCAGGGAGCCAGCAGCAGAGAACAGAATAATCACTTAAGAAAGAAGGGGGCACAAAACCTTTGTCATCGAGGATGTCAGTTATGAAGATAGACCAACTGTGGTCACCGGAAACGGGCTCATCATCTGCGGTGTTGAACACATCAGTGAAGATAGTAGTCTGCATGCCCTTCGTCTCGCCCTTGTCACTGGCAACACCCACATCCCATGCCCAAGTCCTCAGCCAAATAGAGCCACCGATGGGGTAGTGGAACCGTGCCTCGTACGTCCTCTCCCCACCCACTCCCTGCAATCACATAGGATGGGAGCAATTAGAGCAAAATGATCAGGGACTCAATCAGCATCACTAAAAAGTACTCCATACTTAATAATAATTAAAATTACTTAAATACTGTAATATTATTAAAGTATACAGCAAAATTTTTGAATTGACTGAATGCAGTCCAGTCTCAAATACAGTAGTCCCTTCAAATGAAAGAATGGTGTATTATTATTATTTTAGTATTAGTGTATTATTATTATTATTGCTGCAGCATATTATCATTGTTATTATAGTACAGTATTATTATTAATCATTATTGCAATACAGCACCTGTATACCATATTTACCTGAATTTACCTGTCTAGATGTTTTGAGAGATGAGAGTAATATTTTTGAAATACTGATTGGGAGATAATAATAGAATAAAGGGGGAAAACCTTTGACAAGCCACCTGCACAGGTAAATTCAGGTAACAATATTAAGAGGTTTGAGAGTATGCAATCTTTTTAAAGAAATTTTTCAGATATTGAATGTGAATGCTAAATTTTTTGGACAAACTTATTTGGGATGAAAACTTCAAGACTCACATAGATGTTGGAGCAAGTGTTCTTGCTCTTTCCATAGATTCGGAGGGCACGGCCCCACACAGAATTATCACCCACAAGACTCAGTTGGTCAGTTTCGAATATTGCTGACGAGTTCTGAGGAAGCGTTAATTTTCCTAAAAGCCGCGACAAGTCCCACTTTCTGTAATTTCATGAAAATTTCATATAGACGTAAATGAAACAGTGAAATCCTGTACATGAAGTAAACTGCTTACCCAAACATATGGCATCTTACCACATTTCAAGATAATTAACCCCTAATAATTTTAAACATTATTAATTCAAAATAAACTAGGGATCAATGTCTAAATTTTTTGACCATTTATGGAGCTCATGCAAATTTCTTTGTAAGACCACAATATTGTTTTCACTTCCTACTTTACCGAAGAGCTTAGTGTCATCCGCAAATTTGATGATGATGTTTGTAATACCTGTACATGTATTCTCATCTATGTCATTGACATGTATCTTGGGGTACTAATAATATTTAATAATTCATTGTGTTCAGGGACAAACAGCCAGAGTGTATTCATACACATTTTGGCTTATATCGAGGTCCCAACCCATTCCAGGCAAAATTACTGACCCCACCCAGGATGCATAATGTATGGAGACCAAGAACAGTCCAGAGAGTGCCAAACATACACTACTGACAAACATACAATACTGTACATATAGACACAATAGTTAATAAAAAGAAAATAATAAAATAAGATCAAGGTATGGCCACTGTTAAATAAAATGATCCCCAAAAAGATGAATTCTCTGCTACCCAACTGTCTGACGGTGATTACATCCTTGGCATACGATGAGCCTAAGAAAATATTTCTTGACCCAACTCAAGTGTTTCCTAGAGCCCCTACTCTTCCTACACACACACCCTCAACAAGTAAATCCCTCCACTCAGTATCATCTAGTATCCAATGCCATCATTTTAGTCAGACATAAAACCACCTATATTTAGTCAACGAGTCCCTGAAATTGGCTGCTAAATCTTGGGTAGTTAAGATGTTGTAATTTTGCAGTCAGCAATCAATCTGTCAGTACTATGCTGTTGAATATCTGAAGCATTATCAAACAGTCAAAACAGTCAAAACTCCTGTAGTCTGCTGTCGAGTTCCTGGCTCTCAAAAACTTAGATCCCTATGCTCACCTGTTGCCCAGAGTGGAGGATGCACAGCGGTCCTTGATGTCATATCTCATGGGCCATTCATGGATTGCCCAGTTGTACTCTTCTGGATCAGGTACAAGGCTCACACCAACGATTTCCAAATCAATCTGGATGGTGACATTGGTGTCAGGTCCACCCCAGGAGAAGGTGACATTGCCCCGAAGACCACCCCATGAAAGGGCAGAGTACAGCAGCACTGTTGATGACGCTTTAACAGCTGCTATGGGATGAGAGGAAAAACCACATAGGTCCTGTTTAAAGAGCAGTTGGTAGATATGTTAACAAAACAGTTTGTAATCAAAGATTATTAACTATAAACACTCGATTTGATCGGGGCTAGCTTCACACAAATTTCAGGGGAAAATGGTCTGGGGTATGGGACAAATATAGACTGGTTTAGGGGTCGCCAGAATTTAAGAAGGAAGAGTTTGCCAGGGACATAGTCTGACCCCATGAAAATTTTTGGCACTGCCTGATGGCTACACTTAGCTAAATATTTTGTAAAATATTAAACTTAAATATTAAAATATAAAATATTAAACTGACTTAAAGAGTCAAAACTTTTTCCATATAGTAATATACATTTAACATAAATTAACATAAATTTCCTGTTATCCGTACTTTGGCAATAGTAGAATAAAACAGATCCTTCCATAGCTTCAAAGGCTTTCTCAAGCTCTGTACTTATATGAAAGCAAACAGGTAACTATTCCATCTTTAAATATTTCACACTGCTAAGCTCCTCCCACTAGTGAACCATCACCATGCCAATGATAGACTATTACATTACTTTAACATAGAGGTAAATGAGAGGGAGAGAGAGGTGAGAGAGAGGAAAGAGGGAGAAAAGAGAGAGAGGAAAGAGAGAAAGAGGAAAGAGAGAGAGAGAGAGGAAAGAGAGAGAGAGAGAGAGAGAGAGAGAGAGAGAGAGAGAGAGAGAGAGAGAGAGAGAGAGAGAGGAAAGAGAGAGAGAGAGGAAAGAGAGAGAGAGAGAGAAAGAGAGAGAGAGAGGAAAGAGAGAGAGAGAGGAAAGAGAGAGAGAGAGAGGAAAGAGATGTAGGGGAGAAAGAGAAGAGAGAGTGAGAAAGAAGAGAGAGGGAAATAGAAGGGGAAGAGTACACAAGACAACCGATGGTTAGGAAGGTGGGGTCCAAGACCTAACAGCTCGGTTCTGCAGGGGCCATGTAGTAAGTGCAGTCAAACAGCAACTACTCCACCCCCCCCCCCCGCCCCACACATACATACAGACGTGCTGAGTACTCAAATGAGCCTTAGAGACACTAGTAGGAACTTTTTTAGTGAGATGGTAGTTCAAAAAATGGAATGCATTAGACAGTGATGTGGTGGAGGCTGACTCCATACACAGTTTCAAATGTAGATATGATAGAGCCCAATAGGCTCAGGAACCTGTACACTAAACTAACTAAACACAGATACTGAGGAAATATAAGAAAAGGCGTTATATGACAAAGAGTACTGGGAAGACGGGACACCACGAGCGTAGATCTCATCCTGTAACTACACTTAGGTAATTACCAGTTAATTGGCAGTTGAGAGGCGGGACCAAAGAGCCGAAGCTCAACTAAGTGGGTACACCTTCCTTACGTGCCACCAACCACAACTCCTTTCCCCACGTGCCACCCCCCTTTCCCATGTGCGTCCGCTTATCTTACGGGCCAACACGATCTCCTACGTGCTACTCCCCTCCACCCTCCCTTGCGTGCCACCACCTTTCCTTACGTGCTCACCTAATTGTACTCACCAAATTGTGCTTGCGGGGGTTGAGCTTTGGTTCTTTGGTCCCGCCTCTCAACTGTCAATCAACTGGTGTACAGATTCCTGAGCCTACTGGGCTCTATCATATCTACATTTAAAACTGTGTATGGAGTCAGCCTCCAACACATCACTTCCTAGTGCATTCCATTTATTAACTACTCTGACACTGAAAAAAATTATAATGTCTCTGTGGCTCATCTGGGTACTAAGTTTCCACCTGTGTCCCATTCGTGTTGTTCGTGACACCATCTCCCTGACGTGCTAACCCCTTCTCCCACCACCCTACCCTCATCCGCCACCACTCCCCCTCCCTCAGACGGATGCAGACTGCGCCCGTTAGTTACCTCAAGGTTAACTGGTGGAGGTGGGTGGGATAGGTGAGGTGGTGACATACAGTAGTGGCGGAACCCGACACCTGTTGCTGGTTCCGGGAATCAACGTCCCCGCGGCCCAGTCACTAATTAGGCCTCCCCTGGTTGGGGGTCTGATCAACCTGGCTATTGGACGCTGCTGCTAGCAGCCTGACATATGAATCACAGCCTGGTGGCTCACGTATCCTTTGGAGGCGTTTATCAACTTTTATCTTGAGTTATACCGCGAGAGGTCGGCCACTTATGCCCTTTATGTTTAGTTGGAGAGTGTTGAAATGTCTCGGGCCTTTAATGTTGGTAGATTTGTCTCTCAGCGTACCTGGCGTGTCTTTAAACGGGGATATTTTCCATACCCTGCCATGCCCCATGGTCTCATGTGGAATTATTTCTGGGCGCAGATTGGGAACCAGCCTCTCTAATATTTATCAATTGTAAATTATGTGTGTCTCTCTCCCGCCTGCACTCGAGAGATTACAAATTAAAAATTTGTAAGCGGTCTCAAGAATTTAGATGTTTTATTCAGTGGATTCTTGTAGTAAAAGTTCTTTGGACGTTCTCCAGGTCAGAAATTTCTTTAACTTTGAATGTTGCTGTTATTGTACAATAATATTACAAACTAGAGAGCACTAACGTCTCGAAGAATATCATGACTGGTCTGGCATCTCTTGTTTGAAAGGATCTTGTTATCCAACCTGTCATTTTGCTTGCAGTTGTGACGGTATCTTTATTGTGTTCTTTAAAAGTAAGGTCTTGCGACATGATCCCTCCCAGATCATTTATACTGCTGTTTCTTTTAATAGTATGAAGAGAGTGTGGGGGGGGGGAAGAGACGGGAAGGAAGAAAGAGTAGAGATAGAGGGAAGAATAAGAAGAGCGAGGAAGGAGAAGATAAGAAAGTGGGAAAGACAAGACGTGGTAAGAGAGGAGGCCAATATAATTAGGCCAAAGAAAAATCAGATCAGATCCATCCACAGCTCTCCAATACCAGCTACTAGTAATGACTCCAAATAGCCTCCATTTACGGGCTATTCACGCCCGTGCCACCTTTTGGTTGGCTTAATCTGTATCAACCAATCAATCATCAGGTCAGGTGTTTTGGTTCTGTTGACAATTATTTGCATGTGGGTGACCCATTGAATGAAGTGAGACACAGGAGGCGAGTACAACACTAAATTTTAAATTTCAACTAGTCGTAAAATGTTTGAGAAGCCTTCCATTGGCTAAACATTCAAAAAATTCAAATGTTTATTCAGGTAAAGTACATACATACAAGAGGTTATACAAAAATTGATAGATTTATAGATTGAGCTAGTACATACAATGCCTAAAGCCACTATTACGCAAAGCGTTTTGGGCAGGAAAAACATTAAAGACTAAAACTTTATACTAATTGAGATCAAAGTACAAAATGTGTTGAGAACAAATAAAAATAAAAAAGGGGGGAACATGGCAGAAAAGCAGCACAAATACAATTAGGTCGACAAACAGCGTTGTTAAAAAAAAAAACAGACATGGGTTGACAATAGAGGGGTTATCTTGAGGTTATCTTGACATGATTTCGGGGCTTTTAGTGTCCCCGCGGCCCGGTCCTCGACCAGGCCTCCACCCCCAGGAAGCAGCCCGTGACAGCTGACTAACACCCAGGTACCTATTTTACTGCTAGGTAACAGGGGCATAGGGTGAAAGAAACTCTGCCCATTGTTTCTCGCCGGTGCCTGGGATCGAACCCAGGACCACAGGATCACAAGTCCAGCGTGCTGTCCGCTCGGCCTTACCCACGACCGGGGTAAGGTAGGTTACAGGGAATTTATTAGGTAGTGCTTCGTTTTTATCTTAAACTGGTTGAGAGAGGTACAGTCTTTAACATGATTGGGAAGGTCATTCCACATTCTGGGTCCCTTGATTTGTAGAGCATTTCTAGTTTGATTAAGTCGTACTCTTGGAATATCAAAACTGTATTTGTTTCTGGTGTGGTGCTCATGGGTTCTGTTACAACCTTCAATGAAGCTTTTGAAGTCAGGATTGGCCTCATGTAAACTGTAGTTTGCTTTGAGCCACAAACACGGTGTTTGGCGGCTGGATTCATTGAGTATGTTGTTAATGTGTGAGCACGGGCTGCTAACTGACCGATTTACCTGGATCAGCTGATCCCCCACAACAACACTCACCTGGACCAGCTGATCCTCCACAACAACACTCGCCTGGACCAGCTGATCCTCCACAACAACACTCGCCTGGACCAGCTGATCCTCCACAACAACACTCACCTGGACCAGCTGATCCCCCACAACACTCACCTGGACCAGCTGATCCCCCACAACAACACTCACCTGGACCAGCTGATCCCCACAACAACACTCACCTGGACCAGCTGATCCTCCACAACAACACTCACCTGGACCAGCTGATCCTCCACAACAACACTCACCTGGACCAGCTGATCCCCCACAACAACACTCACCTGGACCAGCTGATCCCCCACAACAACACTCACCTGGACCAGCTGATCCCCCACAACAACACTCACCTGGACCAGCTGATCCTCCACAACAACACTCACCTGGACCAGCTGATCCCCCACAACAACACTCACCTGGACCAGCTGATCCTCCACAACAACACTCACCTGGACCAGCTGATCCTCCACAACAACACTCACCTGGACCAGCTGATCCTCCACAACAACACTCACCTGGACCAGCTGATCCTCCACAACAACACTCACCTGGACCAGCTGATCCTCCACAACAACACTCACCTGGACCAGCTGATCCCCCACAACACTCACCTGGACCAGCTGATCCTCCACAACACTCACCTGGACCAGCTGATCCCCAACAACACTCACCTGGACCAGCTGATCCCCCACAACACTCACCTGGACCAGCTGATCCCCCACAACACTCACCTGGACCAGCTGATCCCCCACAACACTCACCTGGACCAGCTGACCCCCACAATAACACCAACAGCAGGGACCCCGCAGCCAGTGACCCCCGGCCACTCCTCACAAGCATGGTTCAGCAGGTGTTGTGAGCACTTGGTCTCATCCCTAAGAGGACACTTGGTAGGTAGGATGACTGGAAGAGAGGCATCACACCAGTGAGGAACCTCACCAGCTGCACAACTGGCCTCCACGGTCACTTTCTCCCACCCCGCTGCCGGCGTACGATACATCCTTCATATACACTTATTTTCTCTCTATATATCTGCCGATTACACGCTCTCCAACATCTGTGATTGCCGTGTTATCAGTGATTTCAGACCAACGGATGAGAGATAAGATGACCCTTGTATAGCTACTTCATACTCTCAAGGATGTTGGAAGACATTTCTTGTGCTCTTTCCAGAATTTCCTAGTGACTCGTAGACCATCAGCGTGACATCTCACTCTTCTCTCCTGATTCCAGGTGCGGCTAACCATCCTGTGACATGGGGAAGGGGGATATTAGATGAACTCATAGCTAGCTTTTGACAAGCCGCCAGCTTCCTGTCCTCGTCGAGGCCACTATAGAGTGTTGGTGGTCCACAGGTAAATTCCCGTAATATTGAATAGGGTAACAGCACATTGCTGGAAATTGTTTGCGACGTAAATCTTAAAGAATAAAGCAGTGGCTATCCTGGCTGGTGTTAGGCCAATCACATAAAAAAAGTAAAATAAAGTAAATATATGACTGCTTCTGACCTCTTTACGGCGTGAGAGCTGCGGGTAAAGTGCAAAGAATGAAAAACTTTAAATATTTAATACAACAAAAATGACTTTAATAAATAAAAAAAGCCTTATCCACTAGGCAATACTCAGTATAAAATGCAAAGAAATATAAACATGTGACAGTTACGTTAGGGGTAAAGAGAGGTGCAACACAATACAATATACAAAAAGCTGTACGCATCCACTGTCTCCTGGGAAGGCGACAGTATATCTTACTGCTTTGAGAGCACTAAGAGTATTCTGAGGTCTGGCTGATGATTGGTGAAGATTAAACCACCCAAAAGGTGGCCCTTTTGAGCCATTACCAGTATCAAGAGCTGATACTGGAGATCTGTGGAGGTGCGACTGCACCCTGCGTGACAGGTCTGGCTTGATTGATGAAGATTAAGCCACCCAAAAGGTGGCACGGGCATGAATAGCCCGTAAGTGGTGGCCCTTTTGAGCCATTACCAGTATCAAGAGCTGATACTGGAGATCTGTGGAGGTGCGACTGCACCCTGCGTGACGGGAGATGTCTCCCGTGAGGGCTGGCTGGTGGAGATGCTTATATATGCGAGCCAGACCTAGTGTAGATGGCGCTGATGTGCAGGTAACCATCACCGGCAGTCTCAAACAAGTAGTTAAGGGTTGGTCGACCGGCGAGTGGTGCTGGGCCCCAGAAATGGCATAGGCTCGCATTTATTCAGCTATAATGCCTCTGTTCACCTAGAAGTAAATAAGTACCCGGGAGTTAGGCAACTGTTGTGAGTTGGATTCTGCCGTGGGTCAGTAGTTTGACCTTGGGGAGGTCAGGTCCTTGATATAAGCCCATAGTGTACATACAGGAGCAGCTTACAGAGGCTGCTCAGTGGGTACAGTATTTGTGTATTATATAAACACATTAATTTCTCGCAGCTTTTCGGCCATATTTAACTTAATTAATATATGGTAACTGAATTGAATTAACATTTTGTTGGTAATTCTCTATACTGTATGAGGCTCACTAGCACCAGGGAAGCCCACTAGCACCAGGGGGTCCACTAGCACCAGGGAAGCCCACTAGCACCAGGGGGTCCACTAGCACCAGGGGGTCCACTAGCACCAGGGGGTCCACTAGCACCAGGGGGTCCACTAGCACCAGGGGGTCCACTAGCACCAGGGGGACCACTAGCACCAGGGGGTCCACTAGCACCAGGGGGTCCACTAGCACCAGGGAAGCCCACTAGCACCAGGGGGTCCACTAGCACCAGGGGTCCACTAGCACCAGGGGGGCCCACTAGCACCAGGGGGTCCACTAGTACCAGGGGGTCCACTAGCACCAGGGGGGCCCACTAGCACCAGGGGGTCCACTAGCACCAGGGAGGTCCACTAGCACCAGGGGGGCCCACTAGCAGCAGGGGGTCCACTAGCACCAGGGGGGCCCACTAGCACCAGGGGGCCCACTAGCACCAGGGAGGTCCACTAGCACCAGGGGGGCCCACTAGCACCAGGGGGGCCCACTAGCACCAGGGAAGCCCACTAGCACGAGGGAGGTCCACTAGCACCAGGGGGGCCCACTAGCACCAGGGAGGCCCACTAGCACCAGGGGGTCCACTAGCACCAGGGAAGCCCACTAGCACGAGGGAGGTCCACTAGCACCAGGGGGGCCCACTAGCACCAGGGAGGCCCACTAGCACGAGGGGGTCCACTAGCACCAGGGAAGCCCACTAGCACCAGGGAGGTCCACTAGCACCAGGGGGTCCACTAGCACCAGGGAGGCCCACTAGCACCAGGGGGTCCACTAGCACCAGGGAAGCCCACTAGCACCAGGGAGGCCCACTAGCACCAGGGAAGCCCACTAGCACGAGGGAGGTCCACTAGCACCAGGGGGACCACTAGCACCAGGGGGTCCACTAGCACCAGGGGGTCCACTAGCACCAGGGGGGCCCACTAGTACCAGGGGGCCCACTAGCACCAGGGGGTCCACTAGCACCAGGGGGTCCACTAGCACCAGGGGGTCCACTAGCACCAGGGGGGTCCACTAGCACCAGGGAAGCCCACTAGCACCAGGGAGGTCCACTAGCACCAGGGGGTCCACTAGCACCAGGGGGGTCCACTAGCACCAGGGGGTCCACTAGCACCAGGGGTCCACTAGCACCAGGGGGTCCACTAGCACCAGGGAAGCCCACTAGCACCAGGGGTCCACTAGCACCAGGGGGTCCACTAGCACCAGGGGGTCCACTAGCACCAGGGGGTCCACTAGCACCAGGGGGTCCACTAGCACCAGGGGGTCCACTAGCACCAGGGGTCCACTAGCACCAGGGGGTCCACTAGCACCAGGGAGGTCCACTAGCACCAGGGGGGCCCACTAGCACCAGGGAGGCCCACTAGCACCAAGAGGCTTACCAGCACTTTTTGTACCATAAAAATGGACAAATATCAAATAACTTTTGGATACTAAAGTTCCAATGGACCTTGGAACGAATCGATGAGTAGTAATCGATTGCCTGGTAATGTGGCCTCAATGTATTCCGCTGCAAAAATATGTACAATATAATTTTGACATTGAGTCATTACATATCATAATATGAGCTGTCTACATGTATGCGTTTTGTTATTGAATAGCCACACTGACCAGAGGATGGGAGCCCATTTACCTGTTTTGGCCTCGGGACCTAAAACAGGTAAGGTCAGCCTTGCCTCAAGGCCACTATCTCGCTGGTGACCTTGACGAGGACAGGAAACCGGTGACTTGTCAAAGGTTCTCCCCCCTCCTCCCATATTTTTCCTGGTGATTTTATCCAACTGGATATTGAATTGCAGCAATGTTTTGGCATTTATGACTTAGACGGGTAGGCGGTTCCATGGGTTTATAATTCTGTAGGTGAAAAAACATCTCTTTTCTGTTCGACATTGTAGTTAGTTTAAGACTGAAGTTGTTGCGCATTGTTTGCGTTATATATTAACTTTAAAGAAGTAGTGTGTGTCAGGAATGCAGTCCGGAACAAGAAAGTCTTATATTTTTTTTCCTTTTGGAGGTATAGCTGATGTAGTTGTTGATCATATTAATTCTGTTGTGGTGAATTGAATGATTGTTAACATTAAGATTGGTTGTTGTGCTTCAACAATCAAACATTGTTGATGTGACGACTTATACTGAATTTTGTAACTAACTCATCAAGATTGTAACTTGCTTAGCTAAATGAATTGTGGGGTTCAGTCCCTGAGCCCATTATGTGCCTCAGTAACCCTTTCGACTACCGCCCACAAGATGGGTATGGGGTGCATAATATATGAACTAAACTAACTAACTTGTTGTGTTTGTTGTGCGGTTAATTTTAAAGTGTTAGGCCTTGAAATTACTGGTGCTTTTGGTAAGAAATAGTTTGGTTAACAGAAGCAGTGACTGTTGATTTGGAGTGGGGAGGAAGTGGAGGCGGCTTCCTGAGTTTGTATTAGTTAGGGGTTAACAATACTGAGTGTTATGTTCGTTTTCTGTGAACGTTCGAGTGGACGATGTGGAAGGGGGAACTGAAGGATGTTATACTAGATCACGAGGTGTAAAATTATTAAGATAAGATAAAATGTTTATTTAGGTAAATGTACATACATTGAAAATGAGTTACAAACATAACGTTGGATTTATAGATACAGTTAGTACATATAATGCCTGAAGCCACTAATACGCACAACATTTCAGGCAAGTTGTGGGAAAAAACCTTAGACTAGAACTTAATACTAACTGAGATCAAAAGCATAAATTGAATTGAAAAAATGAAAAAAAGGAAAGATATAATAATTTATTGTGTCGGGAGACAGGAAGCGAGAGTGTAGTCATATATATCGAGGTCTCCCCTTTCCCTAATGGTCGAATTACTGTCCCCGCCCACGATGCAACCCCACAACAAGCTAACTTATGAGTACTGCTAGGTGAACAGCGACATTAGGTGAAAGAAAATGCGCCAAACCACTTCTGTCCCGCCCGAGATTCGAAACTGGAATTCTCGATTGTGCGTCGAAATCGAACCCGCCTGTACTACTGGGAGTCTGAATGAGTGTGTGTGTGTGTATGTTAGAGTAAGAAATGATTTGTTCCAAAAGTGATAGTAGGATGCTGATGGCTGGAATTACAGTTGTAGGCAAGGATTTTAGGGAGTATGTCAGCTAATATGTGTCTGTTTCCTTGCGCCAGGTGTGTGTGTACGTGTGTGTGTGCCTGTCTGTTGCTCACATTGCCAGGTACTTTACTGTACATCACTTTTTTGAGTTACTACGTGTGTGTAGCAGCTCTTGGAGGGGGGGCACGTGTGTGTAGCAGCTCTTGTGAGTTACTAGGGGGGGGCACGTGTGTGTAGCAGCTCTTGTGAGTTAATAGGGGGGCCACCTGTGTTTAGCAGCTCTTGTGAGTTAATAGGGGGGCCACCTGTGTTTAGCAGCTCTTGTGAGTTACTAGGGGGGGCCACGTGTGTGTAGCAGCTCTTGTGAGTTACTAGGGGGGGCCACGTGTGTG